GTTGAGATTGGATGAGAAACGTGGATACGTCGAGTTGGGACTCACTCACAACAGAATGGAACGTCGAAGGCGCCTGCAGTGAAGAATTACAGCGGTTCTTAGTGGAGCAGGGGGGGCCTGTGGCGTCAAACCCAGATGGGCGATCCTCACCTGGGCTGTCATAGTGGGGGTGGGGCTCTCTGGTGACGATAACGGCGGGGTGACTTTTCACCGCCTGCCTAATGAGGCAGAATCCTGTAAACTTCCTGCGTCAAAACTTTGCTCTACCCCAGCGATGTGCTTGCATTAATGAGTCGTTCTCTCCTCGGGAAACATTCTCTCCACCCGTCTTTTTACCTGGACCATTCCTTTTTGCTGCCTTGCTTCCACTCACCTCCGCATTCTCGCCATATCAACCTCAGAGTCGATTCTCACAATGGTCAAGAAGCCCGTTATCGGCCTCCTTGGAGGCGGCCAGTTAGGCCGAATGTTGTGCGAGGCCGCGGGGCCCCTCGGCATTGATATCGCGATCCTGGACGAGGCCAATTGTCCTGCGAAGCAAGCCAACCAAAATAGCCGGCACGTCACGGGTTCCTTCAAGGACCCGGCCAAGATCAGAGAACTGGCTGCCATGTGTGACGTCCTCACTGTCGAAATCGAGCACGTTAACACTGAGGTTCTCGAGGAGATTGCAACCCGCGGTGTTATCACTGCGCCGGGCACCGTCAAGAAAGTGCCTTGTCACCCTCATTGGCAGACTCTACGCCTGATCCAGGACAAGTACTTGCAAAAGGAGCACTTTGCCAAGGGCGGTCTCCCCATTGCCCCTCAGATGGCCATTGAATCCGGTCCTGCTATGCCTGAGAGCCTCACGGCCGCTTACAGGGCATTCCAATTCCCATTTATGCTGAAGGCGAGAAAGGGCTCGTATGACGGCCGTGGTAACTTTAAGGTTAGAGGCCCTGAGGACTACGAGGAGGCTATCCAGACGATGGGCAAGCTCTCACTCTATGCTGAGAAGTGGGTGCCTTTCGAGATGGAGCTGGCTGTCATGGTTGTGCGGACTGAGGATGAGGATGGCGAGTTGAGAAAGGTCCACACTTATCCGGCCGTTGAGACTATTCACGAGGAGAGTATCTGCACCAAGGTGTACTACCCACCCCGCCAAGTTAGTGTGGATGTGTGTGAGAAGGCACGCCAGGTGGCTGGAGATGTTATCAAGACGGTGAAGGGCAGAGGTGTCTTCGCTGTGGAGATGTTCTTGCTGAAAGACGGTCAGTAGGCTGAGATTCAACACCTTGGGGATCAACTAACTTGATAACAGGCACCATTACCGTCAACGAGGTTGCTCCCCGTCCTCACAACTCAGGCCACTGGACCATCGAGGGTGTACCCTACATGTCGCAGTACAAGGCGCAACTCCACTCCATCTTGGACATGCTCCCGCGATCTATCAAGCTGCAGCCTCGTGTCTCTGGCGCTCTGATGCTCAACATTCTCGGCGGTGCCCGTGAAGACTCCCACGACGAGTTAGTCGACTTGACCACGTCCTTGTATGATGACAACATGGACGTTTTTCTCCACCTCTACGGCAAGTCGTCCAAGCCGGGCCGTAAGATTGGACACATCACTGTGACGACTCACTCTGCCAACTCTAGCTTGGAGAGGCTAGCAGCGCCTCTGATCAAGGAAGTGAACTACATGCGCGAAGCGCGACTTGATGCTTCTTCAGACCAACTCCGCCCGCAAGACTCCCCTGCCAAGAAGACCAGCTCCCGAAACACTGATAAGCCCTTGGTTGTTGTTACCATGGGCTCTGACTCTGATCTCAACGTCTTGAAGGGTGCCTTTGAGATTCTCGAGCATTTCGATGTTCCGTATGATCTCGACATCACATCTGCTCACCGTACGCCCCACCGCATGGTTGAGCTTGGAAAGACCGCCGCGCAGCGGGGTATCAAAGTCTTGATCGCAGCTGGTAAGTCTACGTATGATCATTGATCCTTTAAGGATGATGCTAATATAACCAAAGCCGGCGGTGCTGCCCATCTTCCAGGCATGCTGGCATCTGAGACAACAGTGCCGGTCATCGGTGTGCCCGTCAAGGCCACTCACCTCGACGGTCACGACAGCTTGTTGAGCATCGTCCAAATGCCTCGCGGCTGCCCCGTGGCAACGGTCGGTATCAACAACTCGACCAACGCTGCCCTTCTCGCAGTCAAGATTCTCGGATCGTCTAATCTTGAGTACCAGCAAAAGATGGCTCAGTACATGAGCAACATGTCCCGGGAAGTTGAGCACAAGGCTGCCGAGCTGAAAAGGTTAGGCCCTGTTGCGTACCTCGAGAACAAATAAGGGAGGGTGAAGAGAGTTTCTTGGCATGTGTGGAACTTCAGTCCACATTTGGACAGCATTGATTGATACCAGCAAAGGCGTACATAGGGGAATTAGAAAATAACAGCTAAGGGGCAGTCACTAAAAGGACCCAAACGTTGAATCCCGGGATGATGCTGCACTGCCGTACTATCACCTTAGCTGTCGTGAGAATGAGAAGGGGCTGTTTCGTCAAACAATTGTCGGCGAGATGCATGAGGACTCGCCGTTGGGATATGGCCAAACACTGGGTAGGCGACGTGTGTTACTGCATGAAACATGAACGGAAGTAAGTATGAACCTACAACTCGAACATTGTGAGTAACACGTGCCGATTGTCCTTGTGTGCAAATGACCTCTTGCTTCGGAGACACTATCGTAGTGCCTTCTAGGTCTGGTGATGATGATTGACCATGAACAATGGGCCATCTATCATTTTCCTTCGGGAGTCAGATATCGAGAGCAATGACTTAGAGCATTCGACTACTATTCTTTCCACTCGGGAAGTACGTAGTCTGTGTCTCGAGAACGACTCCATGGATGATCACCGGGTCACCCAAAAACAAACCGTTAGGATCAAACCCACCTCGTGCTACGTATCTTCATCTTGATTCCCTCTTTTCACTTGACTTTTTATGTTCCAACCATAAACCTTGCTGAATACGGCCTCGTTTTTGTGATTCGTATTCGATTGGCATGTCCAGGAATGTGTGATACGAGAAGGAGCTGTCTCAAGCGTGGCGATCCCTAACAGTCTGACTTTCATCAAGGAAGGAACCTCGTGACTATGTAGGAAGGATCAAAGTGCAACAGCGAGGCAATAATGGCGGACTACATGATGACCAAGAGCCCGCCGTGGCTTATGTCTCAGTGCGACGTGTGTGGTTCCTCCCCGCGTTCCTGCCAACACGTTCTTGACTTAAACAACGTGAGGGGAAGACAGATGGCCAAGTTGGGCAGGTAGAAGTGGTCAATAGAGTTCCTGGGCACTACTAGAAACCACAACTAAAAATCAGAGAAGAAGGAATCGGCAGCGTGCTCGTTGCTATTCATAGCTTTTGCACGTTGCGAGGCTTGGTGCCTGCTTTGCATCCCAAGACGAATATCCCTCGCAAGATACGAGATGACTTTCCTTGGATCATATATCTAAATGATCATCAGGCTGATGTCATTAATCGCCGACTACCAAGCGGTGAGCAGAAGCTCTCACAGCAGCCTGTAACACACCTGCGGTGATATTCCTATAAATGGTGAAAGGCGGTTGTGGCCTCTCAAACCATGTTTGTTGGTTTCCACACTCCTGGGAGCATCACACACCCTTGGGAGCTTCGGTAGCCAATATGGTCCGGTCGATGAGTCTAGCGAGTGAGTCCGGAAGATGTCCTGGCCGAGCTAATGCCTATTATAATACTACCCGCAGAGGACTCTGCTCGCCACGGGGCGCTTCTCTGAGCAGACGGACCGAAGCACCGCTCTGATCGTTTTGATCCGAAGGACCGGATGCGACTTGCAAAGCGAGTGGGAGATCACCGGTCCAAATCCATCCGCGGAGACCGTTCGCTGACAAGGTGGTCCAGATCGACGCCCTCCTGAGACAAGCGCCTTGGCAGGAATATGAAAACCCGGGGCCTCGACGGGTAGTACTACCTTGACGTCGGCTCGCTCCGGTGACTTGTTCTGGAAAATGACTACTGGATAAGTTGAGAGTTTCTGCGAATTGGTCTAGACAACTTCGAGAACATCACCCGCATATTTATGTATAAGCCAATGTTAGAGGTCCAGGCCTGGATATTGTGTAGAAAGAACCCATCCTTCTCCTCGGACACGATCGATAAGGATGGTAATCACAACCCACAGAAAACCGTTTTCTGTCCTATTCCGTCACCCGCAAATCTCTCTGAAGATGAAGGGTATTACGAACAAAGGTCGTGTGTCTGTATGACCATCTAGCCCCCCGCAATCCTATCCATTCATCCCTTTGATTCTCGGGAGCGAAAACCTGCTAACCTTTTTGCGGCACTGCAAATGGAATTCGGACTGTTCGAAAACAGCCCGAGGAGTAAGACATCGACTTCACCGTCGATCCTAGATCATCGGGGAGCCGTCCTCTACCCTACCGGCTTGATCCTGCGGCGCACACTAATTCGACAGCTCCCAACCGGATGCGCTCACTATCCCATTCATCGCAGCCCTGGGATGATCTGCAATCGGGTCTAGCATATCTCCTCGTCTCTTGGCGATCATACCAAGAATGATGAGGTGACCACTCTGCCACCGACTCGAAGTTATCGTGGAATGAACTACCTACCAAAACGGGGCTGCGTCTGCTGAGGCTGGGCAGGGCGAACCAAGCTCGCCTGCGGCCGTGAGAGTCGCAAACCTACATGCGCTAGTGTCCGTCTTCCCGTCTTGGTGGCTACCCTTCATGACGGAGATCGGAGAGCTCGCCCACCCGTACAACCCCGAGGCAAACTTGGGAACATATATAGCAACCTTGATGTCTAGCTTTGTCAAATTATTTAACTCCGGTACAGCTGACATCACCCATTTAACAGCTGTCCCTCTACATCTCAAGCTACATCACACAGCACTGCAGAGATTCTGATATCCTTCCGTAATTCACAGACATCACACAAACAAGAGTCAAGATGCTCTCAAACAACATTCTCACGATACTGGCCATCGTCGGCCTCTCGGCCGCTCAGATCCAAGTCCCGCCCTCCAACGCGGCTGACTGCCCTCGCACAATGTGCCTCGACGGCATTAACCCAGAATGCGGAATTCGATGGGGAGGCTGCTACGACATGTGCCAGCCGCAAATGAGGCCCACCATGCCGCCTTGCAAGTCCACGCTGAGCAAGTCGACAATCTCGCGGACGTCCAAGCCTCCGTTCACAAAGCCCACTCGGCCCAGCCTGCCAGTGCCCACGCGCAGCCCGACAACCACGCCGGCGCCGCCTAGCTTGAGTCCCCTGCCCTCGACGCCGATCGACAGCTGCAGCACGCGTACCGTGTGTATTGATTACATCAACGAGTGCGGACAGTGGTATGGCGGGTGAGTTTTACTGCTTCCCTTATGCCGCTTCACGTGTCCGGTATGAACTTTTCATGTTTGCTGACTTGCGGAAAACAAAAATGTAGATGCCACTCCGCTTGCCAGCCCTGGCCGTCGTACTCCAAGCCTCTGTGCACACCCACGCCCAGCTTGACTGTCAACCCTTCGACGTTACAAACCGACTACTAAGGACGCTCGCCAACGCTCTGAATGTTTATGAATGGGATGAAAGAAGGAGTAGCAACCGATCGAGATGACGTTTGATGATCCTATATAATGACTAGATAATTCCCTTCACTGTACATATTAGCTTTCAAGTCCCAATAAGGGTGCATCAATCTCTTACGCAATGATACAGTCTTTGCAGTTACGATTCTTGTAACATCCTCGTGTTCTCTGTGCCTCATTCATGGTGAAGTTGCCCAGCACTGTCCGACGAAGGGCCGAGGAAAACGAGAAAAGGCAAGCCGGGTGTAGTCTTTGAACAAAATGAATTTCTCCTCCTACTTTACACGTTTTTAACTCCAGAGCCAAAGCCCAAAAGCCTGCGGTGTATGCACCAGCCCTAATAGCCTGATTCCAAAGGGTCCAGGTAGCGATATCCTCCACGCGGCTCACCCACGATCATTAACTAAATTGTTGTCGTGGTATTACGATTGCCTTTGATATTGCCTTAAGCCACTCTCTGACCCTCCCCCTCGTCTTCGTCTTCGTCTTTCCTTCTCCTCGCATAACCGAATTTCCAACCAACACCCGACACCGGTTCTAATCGTAACAAGTTTAGTACACACGCTTGAAGGGAGGAACAGCCTTGCACTCGTTCTCGTCCAGAGTGTTGGCAATGACGCCACGGTAGCCGAGGTCGACCTTGCCGTGAGGGCTCTTTTGGAAGGAAAGGGTGTGCTTCATCCAGTTGACGTCGTCACGGTCGGGGAAATCCTCGCGAGCGTGAGCACCACGGGACTCCTTGCGAGCGGCGGCGGAAGTGGCGGTTTGAGAACTATATATGGTTGATTAGCGTCTCCATGAGAAAAGTGGTGTTCAGTGAAACTTACGCGCAGGTCAACAGGTTACGAAGCTCAAGGGTCTCAACCAAGTCAGAGTTCCAGATCATGCTCTTGTCCTTGATGGAAACATCAGGGAACTGAGCGTCAATCTCGGTCATCTTGCGAACACCCTCGTCCAGAGACTCCTGGGTTCTGAAAACGCTGACCTCAGTCTGCATAGCCTTCTGCATAGACAGACGAACGTCGGAGGTGGTTCTGCTACCCTCGCGCGTGCGAACGTCATCCAGAGTCTCAATGGCCTCAGCACCAGCATCAGCAGCCAAAGGCTTGTGCTTGGTACCAGGGGTGAACTTGTCACGAATGGTGTGGGAAACGGCACGGCCGAAGACGACCAAGTCGAGAAGAGAGTTGGCACCCAGACGGTTGGCACCGTGGACGGAGACGCAGGCGGCCTCACCGCAGGCGAACAGACCAGGGACGACCTTGTCGTTGCCGGACTCGTCAACAGTGATAACCTCACCGGTGTACTTGGTAGGGATACCACCCATGTTGTAGTGGACGGTGGGCAGAACGGGAATAGGCTGAGTGCGGACATCGACACCGGCGAAAATGCCGGCGGTCTCGGAGATACCGGGCAGACGCTCGTGGAGGACCTCGGCGGGCAGATGGCTGAGCTGCAGGAAAATGTGATCCTTCTCCTCACCCACACCACGTCCCTCGCGAATCTCCATAGTCATGGAACGGGAGACGACGTCACGGGAAGCAAGATCCTTGGCGGTGGGGGCGTAACGCTCCATGAAGCGCTCACCCTCGGAGTTCAGAAGGTAACCACCCTCACCACGAGCTCCCTCAGTGATCAAGCAGCCAGCGCCGTAGATACCAGTGGGGTGGAACTGGACGAACTCCAGATCCTGGTTAGGAAGACCAGCACGAGCAACCATGGCCATACCGTCACCAGTGCAGGTGTGGGCAGATGTGCAAGAGAAGTAGGCACGTCCGTACCCGCCAGTTGCCAAGACGGTGTGGTTAGCAAGGAAACGGTGCAGAGTGCCGTCCTCCTGGTTGTAGGCGACGACACCGCGACACTCGCCATCCTGCATGATCAGGTCGAGAGCGAAAAATTCGATGAAGTAGTTGGTGTTGTGACGGAGGGACTGTCCGTAAAGAGTGTGGAGAAGAGCGTGACCGGTACGATCCTCGGCAGCGCAGCATCTGTAAGCCTGTCCACCCTTGCCGAACTTCTGGGACTGACCACCGAAAGCACGCTGGTAACTATAGACCGAGATATATCAGCATCTGCGGAGAGCTAGAGCATTTGAGCACTTTCACTCACATCTTGCCATCCTCGGTTCTGGAGAAGGGGCATCCATAGTTCTCGAGCTCGACAATGGAGGCGGGCGCCTCACGGGTCATGTAGTGAATAGCGTCCTGGTCACCGAGCCAATCTGAACCCTTGACGGTATCGTACATGTGCCATCTCCAGTCGTCCTCGTGCATGTTTCCGAGAGCGGCGTTGATGCCACCCTGAGCGGCGACAGTGTGACTTCTGGTTGGAAAAAGCTTTGAAATACAGGCAGTGTTGAAACCAGCCTCTGCGAGACCGAAGGCAGCACGCAGACCTGCACCACCGGCACCGACAACAATGGCATCGTACTCATGGTCGACGACGGGGTACTTGCTAGAAAGGTAGGGGGATGCCTCCTTTGCGCGGAGGTGCTGGTTCGCGTAAATCCGCGCGGCGGATCTGGTCGTGGAGAATGCGCGCGCCTGCGAGAACTGGGATTGCCAAGTATTAGTTCTACTGATCAAGTCGAGGCACTGTCTAGATGCAGAGTCGGATGAAAGGAGCGACATACAGTAGGCTTGGCAGCAAACCTCCTCAACGCCATTGATGAGGCCATAATTGATGTGTGCACTATCTCGCAGTGTCAGTATGCGTATCGGTCGCAGTTGTGTATTTTCCGTCTCGAGTTGCGGGAGGCGAAGGGGGGGAAGGGGGGGAAGGCGAGGATGGCTGAAGATGTTGGGTTGAAAGCCGCTCGTGTGTGCACGGGTGGATGGATAGGTCAGTACTGACCGTTAAGGTATCGGAAGTCGGAAGAGAGAGGTCAAGCCTGGAATTAAGTGTTAGTAAAATGGTACCATAGGTACCTGGAACTTGGAATACTAACCGTCGAATTGAATTGGTCTCCAAAACGAGGTGGTGTCTCTATGTGATGAATAGACCTCCTACCAGTGTATGGAGAAAAGTACGGAACAAACCACGGCAAACCTCGCACACGTCTTCTGCAATAAGTCAGCTCGGCACCTCGGGTAATCACACTGTCGGTGATTGGTCAAATTAGCTATGGCTAGTGGGCTTACGCCACAATCAACGATAAGCCACAGTTGGTTTCCGGGGCATAGTTCACATGCAAAGTCCCGTCAAATTCCGAGATCGATTCCGGGGTATCATCAGTGCGACCGGATGAAAGCTTAGCCTTCGTTGATCAACCGTTCTATTCTTGATAGACAGTCAACTACCAAAAGTCAATGTCTCTTGTTGATGCGGTCAGTCATTGTCTCTAGAATTTGACATTTCTGTGTAATTGACTAGTTGGAAACTTGTCAGTTCGCGTGCGAAAATGCGTACGGGTGCTCTTTACCCGTTCCCGAGTGGCATTGCCGAGGTGCGGGTGGAACTGGGTCTCTTTGTCGATGGGGAGGAGAAAGTCCATGACTTCACGACGAGAATCGCCCATCGTCAGCAGTTCTACTTTGCCACACTTTCAAACAGCACAGAGCCTCGGTAGTCGACCGCAGTTTCAACTAAAAAGAGAACGTTACTCTATACTGACTATTGAAACACCAACTAAATAGACTTTTTCTGTCTTCAACTGAGTACTTACCAGTAAGGCGACTTGGTCATTCGCAGAGATCTGCGACTGAAGCAATTGCCCCACAAAAACTTTTGGGCTGCAGATGTGAAGTGTTGAAAATAGTAATTTAGGGTTACTCTAGGTATCTATGGTAAAGCCACCCGGTTGCAAACAATTCTACCGTGGCAACTCACTGGTATCGCGCCCTCTGCGCCCTCCTCAATTGGCTCGATACAAAACGAGCCATAGCAATCTCGGCCCTAGGCCCTGCCTCTCATCTCGCCGCTCAGGCACTTTCGGACACAGGGCCAAACTCCTATGAGTTACTGCGGGCTAACGAAAACAAAAGAAAGCCTGAATTCAAAGTCCCCTTTTAGTGTGTCCAAGGAGTTCAAACTCCAGCCATGCTCATAAAGTACACACTACCTAGTATACAGCCAATATCGCGCCGCCCAAGATTATGACTCCAAACGTAGACCCTACAGCTTCTCTAGCTTATTAGAAAGCCATCTGTTTCTTGATCTCGGCAATAGCCTTGCCGGGGTTCAAGCCCTTGGGGCAGGCACGTGTGCAGTTGAGAATCGTGTGGCAACGGTACAAGCTCATCGAGTTGTCGAGGGCAGCCTTGCGCTCGGCCTTCTTCTGATCGCGAGAGTCGGCGAGCCAGCGGTAAGACTGGAGGAGGATGGCGGGTCCCAGGTACTCCTCAGAGTTCCACCAGTAAGACGGGCACGAGGTTGAGCAGCAGGCGCAAAGGATGCACTCGTAGAGACCGCTCAACTTCTTTCGGTCGGCGACGCTCTGGCGGTATTCCTTGCCCTGTATTGGAGGTCAGCTGGGATTGTTCAAGATGCTGCAGTCTCGGTCACGTACATCAGGGGCAGGAGTGTCTCTCTGGAGGTACGGCTTGATGGAGCGGTATTGCTTGTAGAACTGGGTCAAGTCGGGCACCAAGTCCTTGACGACGTAGGTGTGAGGCAGAGGGTAGACCTTGACGTCTGAAGCGTTCTCTGAAGGAATGCGGCCTTTCATACTTGTTAGCATTGAATCTCCGTGAGTTCTTGCAGCAGCTTGCAAAGCCTGGTGGCTACAAGGGTGCTTCAGGAGTCCACATACAAAGGCAAGCCAGCGTGTTCTGGCCGTTGATGTTCATGGCGCAGCTACCGCAGATACCCTCTCTGCAACTTCTACGGAAGGTAAGAGTAGGGTCCAGCTCGTTCTTGATCCGAATCAATGCATCCAGCATCATGGGTCCGGTCTTGTTCAGGTCCAGCGTGTACTCCTGCATCTTGGGCTTCTCGGTCGGCGTGTCGGGGTTCCAGCGGTAGATGGTGAACTTCTTCATCTTGGGCTCCTTTGTTGCAGGCACTTGATCGCTAGGAGTGGCCAAGCCACGGCGAGGAATCGTGATGGCAGGGCGGAAAGCAGCCTTGGTGGCCGAGCCCAAGACGCGGGTGGAAGAGCGGAGAGATGCCATTATGGCGGTTGATTTTCGAGTTTGACTAGACAGAAAATGTAGGTAGACGAATTAATTGTTGACACACCAAATGGAAGATGAGCGATTCCAGCGAATTGGCGGGGCGCGGTGTGGGAAAGCAGCGATTCACCGTAGTATTATCCTTGGTGGCGGTTCAGAGTGAAGTGGAAGACATCATGGAAGTTTGCTTCAATCCCTCGGTTATTGTGTCGAAGCGGCCGGAGCGGAAAAGTGGAGTCTACAACCAATCATTGCTGAGTGATTTTAAACCACATTTCCTCTGCCGCTTTTGACCTCAATCCTGAGCTCCTACCTTGCGCCCCCGGATAAATACTCAGCAAGACATCTTCAATATCAAGAAATCCCCAGTCAATGGCATTCTAAATGCTAAGTGAGTACGTTATCGATATACAAATTTCCAGACTACTTCGCCGTGCATCTTGACAATCATATCTCCCCATCCGGATTACCGGCTGATGGTGACTTAAAGCAGCGCACACCTCCTTCCCCCAGTTTTCGTGTGGAATAAACCGGCATCTAGGACCGGAAGCAGCTGAAAGCTGACTCAGCGGGAATACCCCGGGTAGGTAGTATCCCTGGGGAATCTGGGGTTGGGGCCTTTTTCTTATGACATCAAGTGGACGTTGCATTTCCCTTCAGACGCGACTACCTATCACAAACCGTCTGTCCATCTGCCGCTGCGCAAGTGCTCGCGTCGAAGAAGTGCTTCTCGCTTCGAGGTATCTTGGATCCGCAGTATGGTTATGTGATTCAAGTCACATTTCTAACGAGCAATTGATACGGTTAACATGCGGACTGCGGAAGCACCGCATCTCCAAGAAACATTATACATCGCAGCACATTGGAAGCAATGGCCGCAGCGGTGACAGTATTGCGCCAGCCTCTGGTCATCCTCCCTGCCACAAGGCCGATATCAAAAGGTTTGCTGCTTGCTTTGCATCGAACCCCCTCAGTCGTTAATGATGGTTCCTTAGCATCCATCAATTTCTCGAAGTATCTCGCCCGACACCAGTCGACCCCGCCGACACACATCTCACCGCGGTACTTTACGACAACCAGAAACATGAAGTCCGACTCGGCTGCGAAGCTATCCTACCACGTTGCTGCGTCCTTTACCGCAAAAGACCATCCCTACGACCCATCAACACACATCTTTCACTTCAATCCGTATAATCGTATCCAGCAAAACCGGAGCAAACGCTCCAGACCAGACAGCGGACATGATGCTTTCTTCGTCAGTCGGGTAGGCGACTCCGGCGCAGTAGCCCTCGGTGTGGCTGATGGTGTTGGCGGCTGGGTAGACTCCGGTGTTGACCCGGCGGATTTCTCACATGGTTTCTGCGATTACATGGCTTCGACAGCCTACGGACATGGCTCATTCAAGGACGACCCTACAACAAAGGGCACGGGCGATAAGGAGTCGCTACGAGCGCAAGATCTGATGCAAAAGGGGTACCAGGCGATCAATGAAGACAGTACTGTCGTTGCTGGTGGCAGCACAGCTTGCGTTGCTGTGGCTTCTTCAGACGGTAACCTCGACATTGCCAACCTAGGGGACTCTGGCTTTATCCAGCTCCGATTGAACGCCGTACACACCTACTCCGAACCCCAAACGCACGCCTTCAATACTCCTTATCAGCTCTCCATCGTGCCTCCCAGCGTAGCCGCTCGAATGGCGGCGTTCGGTGGCCAGAACCTATGCGACTTCCCCAAAGACGCTGATGTCACTCGCCATGACCTCCGTCACGGCGATATTATTGTCTTCGCAACAGACGGTGTGTGGGACAACCTGTTTAACCAGGATATCCTGCGTATTGTTAGCAATGTCATGACAACGACAGGCGCATGGCTCATGACGAAGAATGGCGTCCGCATTGTCGACAATCTCAAGCCCTTCACCAAGCCCGCCGAAGACGCCTCAGAGCGACCGTCGACAAAGTTTCTCACCTTACAGAGCGTGCTCGCGGCGGAGATCACGTCCGCCGCCAAGTCAGCAAGTCTCAACCGTAACGTTGACGGCCCCTTCGCCAAGGGAGTACAGAAGTACTACCCGCAGGAGAACTGGCACGGTGGCAAGATTGACGACATTTGCGTTCTCGTACTCATTGCGTCGGACGACTCAAAGGCCGCGGCCAAGAGCCGCCTCTGAAGCCGTCTTGTATCATTATCAACATCATCTACCGCATCTGAAGCTTGTCATTGCTATTTCCGGTTGCGCAAAATTACCTCTCATAGAAGCCCAAAAAGGAGCGCCACCGCTGCATTTTTGGATTGTATCGTAATCTTGGATTGTTACCCAATTTCTCCGTCAGTGATCCAGCAATGATGTACAAAGGATCCTGGGCAATATCTTGTTTTCTCCTACACACGCGATAAAGAAGCGTCGAGGAGTCGGCAGTCAGTCAGTTATAATAGTTTCGAAAAAATACCACCTAAGATCGAATTCTGTCTCGTTAATTGCACTTCACTTCACGATCAGTCTCTAGTCGCCTGAATCCATTGGACAATTACCTGCTTGGCTTCATGCTTCTCCACCGATTAAACTACACGTTTTGGCTCACGCGATCGGCAGTAACGGTCGAACATGAGGTCCAGTTGTCTTTCTTTCTCACCCCTTGTTTCTCTCCTCCTTTGTCCTTGCCATGGAAGCGGGGCCGAAGCACCGGGAAGTTGCCGATCGCAGTGTGGCTCTGCTTGGGCGGGTTTTTGGTTGCTTCTTTCCTCCAATGGACGGAGCCCCTCCCTTATTTTTCGAACTCCACGTCAGCTCTGGAGTCTGCACCACGTTCTCCTTGTTCTCCACGTGGGTTTGGTCTGTCGTTTGAGCCACTAACCTGGGTCGCGAGAGAGAGAGAAGTAGCATGAAACAGCTTTATTGTCTTGGGGGAAACAATAGGCTGTGCCAAAAACCTACCTTACCTTGTATTATGGATGTAGAGAAGAAAAGACGTTGAGTTGAGGTGAAACTATGTGGAGGAACGACGACGATTGATGGCAAGCTATTTGTATTGGAAAACCTATCCGCCGATTACTCGCCGTACACAAAATTGCATGGGCTCCATACCAGAGGCAGGGCATGTCCGCTTCCGAGTGGGATAGCCGCAGGTCGAGTGACACTGCTTTAAGTTGCAGACGGAAATGTCACCTCACCGAGGACAAACGGTCATGCGATGCATGCAGCCTGAACAGGCAACGTAAAGGCGGGGTTGAATTAATCATTGTCACACAATGGACATGATCACAGGCAGCGAAGTCAAGAAATGGAAAGGCAACGATGTATTGAGTTGCTAATTGATTGTTTACAGAACCAAAGTTTTCCGATAGGCCCGAGTAACACACAATGTTTACTTCATCATCCCCTATCCTCGAGAGCGATTTGCAACTCGATCCGCTTGCTTCATGTGAAATGCAACTCCTGGTCCTGTTCGTTCTTGGATCGCATTACTGTATTATAAACCTTTGGTCGCATCATATACCATTCATTGGGCTGAGATAGCCCAAACATCCCCGACAGCCACCAGCTTACTGGAAGTAGAGCATGGCGGCGACGGTAAGGCCGATCAGAGCAATGGGAGAGCCCATGCGGACAGCGTCACTGCCGGGGACGGTGGTAGGAGAGCTGGTAGAAGAGCTGGTAGCGCTGGTGCCTGTTGAAGATGTTAGTCGAGCTTCTTCTGCTTTGAATGGAGGTTTACGTACGGGTGCTAGCGCGGGTGCTGGTGGAGACAGTCGAGGCAGCGGTGGAGTTAGCAGCGGAGGAGGCCGAGCTGCTCTCAGCAGAGGCGGAGGAGGCAGAAGCGGAAGAGGTGATGGTGGAAGCAGAGACAGTGGTGGTGATGGAGGCGGAGGCGGAAGCGGAGGCAGAGGCAGAGGCAGAGGCCGAGGAGACGGAGGCGGAAGCAGTGACGGAGGTGGTCAGGGTGAACTGCTCAGAGTAGTTGGGAGTGCCAGTAGAATCCGAGATCTCGATGGCGTACTGGTCACTGGGGAGGGTTGAGGACGGAGTCCAGGAGAAGGAGGTACCACTCTGGCCAGCTGAAGTGGAAGTCAGTATCAGATGACATTTCACCAGTACTCGAGGTAGACTTACAGGCGATGGTGGAGACGGTCTTGAGGTCGTTGCTGGGGCCGTTCTTCAGGGTGAGAGTGACGGGTCCAGAGGCATCAGACCAGGTGATCTCGAAAGCTTGACCAGCCTGGACGTTGAAGTTGGTGTTGGTAAGCTGAACAGCCTGGGCCAGGGCAGCGAAGCCGGCGACGAGGACGGAGGTGAAGCTCTTCATTGTGACGGATTGGGTTGTTTCTTGAAAATTAAGTGATGAACGAGTGTAGGAGTATTAGGTATCGAACTACTGTAATTTTAGCAAAAAAGGTCAACAACGAATGTCGGGAATAGGCTCGTGAGGAAACAAGAAGGAAAGAATCCGGCATTGATGGGAGAGGGGACAGCTGGGTAGAAAAAGGCTTCCTCGTCTCGCGCAGGCGCGAAATTAGGCGAAGTCGAATCAGGGGTAGAGCATGGAAGGGGGGGCGTGTGCGGGTTTGGCGGAGAGGCAGGCAGGCATGCGACTTACATCAACACCTGGACGGGGCTTTTCCTATAATTACTCGCACGCGTTACTGTTGCCGGGGGTGTGTGGATGGTTGGCTTTTGGGGAAGTAGCACCAGAAGACGGGCAATTTGAATTCTGGGAGTGGTGTGGTTGTGATTCTTGGTTCTGGTCTGAGTGTTGGAGCCTTGGAGGGATTTGATTGTGGTGTGGACCGGGCAAGTTTGTTTGGATTGAGATGGGGATGGAATGGGTGAACTGTCAGGTGGGAAAAGATGAGCGCACTTGAGCTTAAGAAGAGGCAGGAAGTGTCGAGGTTGAAACAGACAAGCGCGCGATCGAGCTTTCCTCTTTGCTACATTATGACCTACTGAGTACTCATGGCGACATCATAACAAGCACCCAACGCAGCAACAGCCGGCAACGAGCAGCAACCGCGCACACCTTGAAGCTTCTCGAGGACGCCGCGGACAGCATCACGGCTCCCACCGGGGGCGCGGACTTAAGGTAGGCAGGCAGGTACCTTACAGTGTACACTGCCCGGTGAGGTAAGCGTGTCAAGCGTGGAAAGGTACCTTACCTACTGTGTGAGACTATGAGGTACCTATGCACCTAGGTAGGTCAACATGCTAGCACCTCAGGAAGTCGCAGGCCATTCGTCGCAAATGAGAAAAGGAAGCAACGACGACGAGCGGGGCGCGGGTACCTTCCCACCTCTTCCAGCAGCCCTAGCAACAGGGGTGGCACTAAGTCCCGAAGTGGACTAATGTGAAAAATTCTTGGAGGGTACCCCTGTCGCAGAGAGGAACCAGGCGAACCCCAGGAGAAGCGCTAACGAAGACCAAGCTTCAGGTTCTTGCCTTTTGGTTGCTTTTGGTTGACTTCTTTCTGCTTCTCTCAGTGGCCTCCTCTGGTGCCGTAAAGTGCCACGACTGCTTGCAGCAGCTTCAGCTAACTAGTGTTGGCGTTCCAAGTTAGCTGCGAATTTTGCCGTTGCTCAAGCCTCAAGATCCATCCTCACGCCGTCGTCTGGTACCTTATGTTCAGCCCAAGGCAAGTAGGTAGGTACCAACTCTAAGACGACCGTCTGAAAAGCAGACACGCAGAGTACCTTGGATTTCTTGCAAGCTAATTACCTCCAGGGTGACGTGCGGTTCCTCAAGGCTCAACGACGTGTAACCACAGGGCAGTCCCCAGATGCAGCCGTCAACTCCCTCCCCCGGTACTCCTAGGTTGCGTCCCCGGAGTCGCCCAAGGCTCCTTATTGGGCTATTTTGGCCGGAGCGATGAGAGGTTCACGACCAGCTCGGGCAACTGCAGGGAACTTAGAAGAGGTCTGGGCCTCAACGGTTCTCGCCTGGGAGTCTGGGACTCTGTTGACTGTTCTCATTTCTGGGACCTAGGGCCATCACTGGCGTCAATTCGAACAATGCGCCCAGCAATGGCACAATCTTCCACATGCCGTACCATTTCGCTTCCCTGCTTTCCAGACCGCACCAGGTGACACCACGTTGGAACCCGCTGGAACGGTCCAAGGCCCTCGGCCGGTCGCCGACCTGCTTCGAGCCAGTCACTGACCCCCTCTCGCCGTCGAGACTCAAATGGGTACTCCGTACAAATCACAAAGTACGTTCGGCCGGACAGGCAGTGGGCGGGTACTCCATACATTCGTTCTGGTCCGGCAATGGGGAAAGGTTCCTGTCGATCTGAGTCTTTGGAGGCGCAGCAAGGGAGAGAGACAGAGACTTCTCCATCTCGCACATTTCCAACGGCCGCCCTCCTCCGAAGCCCTTCACTTTGGACTGATTCGCAGCGGGCAGCATGACAAGGGCCCTTTTCGCCCCCTATGGGAATGTGCGAATGCTTCTGCCGCTGACGCCCGGCTCAGCCTGCAATTGCGTGCGCAGCCAACAGCGCCCATCCCTCCACCCTCCCTTCCAGCTCGTGTTCCATTTCTCCACGGCAAAACTTTACTTTCCGCCGACCAGTCACAAGCCGCCTGCGATTCCATCATCGATCCGAGTTGGCAATGACAGACAGCTCAAGGCTCCCCCCACCACACTATTGGAGGTGACGACGCCTACGAAGCTGGATGCTCGTGACGGTGGCTTTGACGAGTGATACATCCTTACAGAAATTCTGTGCTTGGGCAGTTGGAAGACTCGAAAATAGCATCGGCGCCTACACGCCTATCCTTGATGTGTTGGGACACTTACGCTCGCCAATCGTCCGAGATCTGTGCCTCACCTGTAGAGTAACATGCCTATACATCGTACGTAGTACGAATACTCCGTACGTTCCTCACAGTGGTTTGTTTTGGGCGGGAGCGCCGACATTACTGACGCGCGGGACCGAAGATCACCTGCTGCTGACATACGGATACCTGGGTACGGAGTACTCAAGCGTGTCAAGTTCCTTTTCCTTTGGTTCACCAAGACACTCCTTTGTAATTAATCATCCGATGCTGATTTGGAGAACGTGCCTTTCACGCTTCTGGTATCGTTACCGTTTCGCGACGACAGTCAGACGCACATCAATCTGGAATGGAACAATCCCCTAATACCGACCAGGACAGCCTACTTCATAGGCGTGGCAGGCTACGGATCGCCTGATGAGGATCTACCGAGGACCTCTGGGGAAAAGATTTTACTCGCGCCTTCACCCGCTTGATCCGTGCCGCAAGTTGCCATCCCGCCCCATCGATCCAAACTCCAAAGTCCAAAGCTTCGCGGAGGAGCCAGGAGCATGCACATATTGCATATATTACCGTTCCATTTGTCGACGCGCCTCGCTGAGTCGCTGCATCCCAACATGTCATCGCGCCAAAGCGGCAATCTCGCTCTCATTCGGCTGACCGGGGAGCCTCCTCAGAACGATCAATAAGATGCAACGACGTCAGGCTCGCCTATGCCAATGGCGTCTTCCAGTTCCCAGTTCTCACCGAGTCCAATTTCCAATGCACACCCCGTTGGGTCCCGTTGTGGAGACCAACATTGGCCAAATCTCCCCAGCACGCGCTACTTCACGGCTTGCACGGTTCCTGCATTCTGCGCAATGGTCCTTGCTTCTGACCTCCAATCGACGGACTCGGACACTAACAGCTCTCGCTTGACGGCCCTGGCCTATGACTTTCACTGGAACCCTGTCCATGCGTGTGCACGCTCCTCCGAGAGGCTCCACGGCCGACAACTGGAAGCCTGCAGCATCGACAGGGCATCGCCTAGCTCTGACTATGTCGTCCGAACCCTTCAGCAAGTTTGTCAATATCCAAGTCGTTTACCACGATATGCACCTCCGACAGAGCCATCGGACCAAACCATCGGATACGGCAGCTCGCTCAAACTAGGTAGCAGCATCTTAAACTTCGGGAAAAATACATGCTGGGGTCGCACCGTCGCTCTGTCCGTGATAGGCTTGGCTCCTCCATGCTTTACATATTTTCCACCCAAGTCACTTACTTGGATCTCGCAGTATCTCAATACGCAATCAGCCGTGCGACGACACTTCATGGCCATGCTATACTTGGGTCTTGGCTGAAATGGACCAAGCCTGCTGGCTCAGGGAGCGTTTCACTCTGACACCCGACTGGAATGGAAAAGCTCCAGAACCACGGAGTTTTCCTCGGCTCGACTCAGATGACGTAAGTACGACTTTTCGACGGCGATGACAGGAATGCCGGCGTGGCAGCCGTCAATTTATCAATTCATTCACGCCGTTTCAGTTCGTAGCTCAGTCAAGACACGGAATCCAGACCGAGATGGTGAATATTCTGCAACGCCAAAGCCGCATGTGTCAACCAGTGCAATCTGTCTCGTCCGCTGAAAATGTTCACCAGGCCGTTGGTCTTGTCATTTGATCGGAGAAACAGTCTCCCGCTCGAATCCCACAGTAATTCCATGTTGAATAATCATGCCACAGGCTGGGTCTTCGTAGCATTTTCAGGTCCAAAAGAACAGACTCAAAACCACATCGATGTGACAGAATCTTAGAGGAATGACGCAGCGGGCATTGTTCTTTGGCCAAAGACAGCACTTGACGACATATGCCGGTGTGCCGGGGTAATAGTCGACACCATGGAATCAACGGAGCAAATGGCATGAAGCGCCGTGACGGTGGCGAACTCCCAACAGAGGCCTCCTCTCCATATGATAGGCAGCTTTGACTAGCACGATGATGTCTATTCACGAGGTGAGCCCAGTGTGCAACGAACGACCCCTCGCCGGACACCCTCAGCCTCCTCCCTGACTTGAGTCACCGTTGCTCCTCTGCCCCTAGCCTTGTCCACGAAATCATCGAGTGAACCTCCAACACCAAAGTAAAGCCTTTTCGCTCCAACTAGCGCCTGCGACTGGCAGTCGCTACGTTGGCTCTGCTCTCTGTTGAGGACTGCATGGACCATCTCGTTGAAAGCGTCAAGTGCGAAGGGCGAGTAAATGGTTTCCGCTCCAATAAGAAGAGTATCGAAACTGCTGGACCCGTCCAGCCTGGACTGAGTCTCATATAGGAGGTCAATAAGCTCGACTGACCAGCCACCAGAAGTGAAATTGAGTGAGATTTGAGAAGATGTCAGGAACTCCTTGAATTGCTGCAAAACCTCGGTGGTAAGTTCGAGCTCGTCTTCCATCGCGAACGCCTCCTCTAGGACGGGGTTCTGGTCTCTGCGTTCCAGAGCCCAGGCGAGGATAAAGTTTGGCAACGTGACCAACTGCAAGACTGTCGGATTGTAGTCGGCCAGGGTGAGCAATAGTGGCGATCTCGGTGCTGGGTTCCTCATGGTCCATTGCAAGAGAGCCAGCGATGGAAGCGCTGTGCCGCATCCCAGCTGCACGCGGGGCATGTCAGCTTTCAGTTCGCCACTTGAGCCCAGCAAGCAAAACGGAAGAAGAAAAAAACGCGCGTCAGATGTTCAGGTGTTCGTACCTCGATCACTCGGAGAGGCCGCTGCTTGAGCAGGTCCAAGTATTGGCCACTGGCGAGAACCTTGACGAGGTCCACGCTGCTCTCCCAGCTCTTGAAACCACCCTCGTAGACGCCTGTCTTGACGTCGTGGCTGCCGAGCCCCTCGGCATCGGCACCATCACCGGCGGTTTCGTCCTCGGCCATGAGCTGCACTCGCACGTCCCAGAGCTCGCGACGAGGAATCTTGATGAGGCTGCCGTCGTCGAGGGTGACGTCCAGGGTGCCGAAGGCGACCTTGGAGGGCAGCTTGGAGAGCATGTCCTGCAGGTCGTGGGCGGTGGGCGGCAGCTGGGGTTTGCCGGGGACCGGGAAAGCGCTGGCTGCCGGAGTAGCAGCATTAGCGGACTGCGGGGTCTCGGGCTCCGGAGCGGGCGCGGAGGCCTCGGCGGCCGGGACGGGGACCGAGTCGTCTTCTATGTCATCGCCGCCGAATCCGAAGGAGAATGATGCCATGTTCTCTTTTCTTGGAGGTGGGAAATGCCGCGTGGATTTGCAGGATTTTTGTACGTACCTTTCTGCAAAAGGTGAATGAGTTGAGTACCCAAGAAAGAGGCTATGAAAATGTGGGGGCGGGTTCACTCACACACACACACAAAACGAAACGCAGTCTCTTATTTGGACTTCACCGAGGCAAGCTACCTTACCTGCCGGGTGTGTTTGTCGAATCGGAAGATCAGCGACGACAGGTATCTCACGCCACCCAAATGACTTTGATGGCTTGCAGATAGTAGAGGGTTCTCGAGGCAGTGGGTCGATTAAGCCTGATTCAAGCTTGCATTGCTGGAGGTACCTTGTCTGTGGTATGAAGTGGTATAATCAACTCACAACCAGTTCAAGGTTGGCTTCTAAGCCGTTGCCACCAGCAAAAGTTCAGCTGTAACGTCTTCCCGCTCACACACCCAAAGCACATGGGTGATGAAGAGAAGATGATTAGCAGAGTTGCCAACGACCAATTCGTCGAGTCCCCATCAAGCCAATCGTCATCGGTGGCCAAGACTGGGAATGCTTGCTTTTGTTTACCAGAAGTTCTTCCCTATCGGCGCTTTATCGTTTGAAAACTCTTCCAATTCCGCAACAACGCCGACTGCTGCATGTTTGGTCACTTGCTTGGTCGCAAAGAGACCAATAACCAACAACTTCCAAGAGAGGCGTCATGCAGTGCGGCGACTAGGGAGGAGGCATTACAAGTTCACAACTGAGTGATTGTCTCATATCTATCTGTACAGAGCCACGGAGGCTCCCCTTCGGCCTTCGGGTCTCGTGCTTACATCCTGAACCCCCCAACACCCATGCCCTGCTGCGAAAGCCGCAACTTTAATAGGCTGACTGACGTTCGGAGAAATGATCCGCATCTGAGCCTATTCCTCCCACGTTTCTGACTGCGTCTCTCGTGCATGCTCTCTCCTGCTCTTTGCAATCGCTCTTCATACCAAAAAAAAAAAAAAATAATACAAAAAAAACCGCAAGCTGAAGAGCCAGCGGCCGTTGATGGCGCCATGAGCCCATGACGGCCTGCAAGCCTCTGTCGGAGTAGTTCATGGGTTCAGCTGCAGATGCCTGCCAGACAGACACGCATCTCCGCATCTTAAAGACCCGGAGGATCTGGTGCATCTCGAGCTTTGTGCTCCTTCAAACGAGATCTCGTGTCTCAGTGGTCAGCAAACGCGCGAGGACGCCGCCCCCCCTCCCCGTCATCCCACCATTTCTATCCATGCGGCGCCGAACATACCCACGGCCGATCGACGATGGACCCGGCACTCGCGATTTCTTCTCTCGGCGATCCACTCCATCAGGCATCACATATCCCCGTTCTTCGGTCCTTTGTCAGCTGGGATCTCGTCAAGGGGCAATGAAGCTGACAATATGGTCGGCGACTAAACATCCCCACCCTCAACCTCTGGACCGCATCGTCTTTTGCTTCAAGGAAATACAGGGGTCAAATCCCAAAGAATGGCAGCTTCTCTATCCGTAGATACGCCCCGGTTTGTGCTCCATATCACCCCCCTCCCCCGTCCGCGGCACTCACCACGATCCCGCTCCGGCTCCTAAGCCTCCATCCTCCAGTGCGGCAAGAGTCGCGATTCGCCACTCACCGTACTTGGATCCATGCCATCAACACCCCTCAGCCCGGTTCTCCCCTCCCGTCGTGGTTGGATGGTTTACGACCTGGTCCAGCCCGGGACCCTTTCTTGCTAATCGGACCTTGCTTGACCGCAACGAGCTAGCAGACGTGCAGACAAACCATTCTGTCAATTCTTCTGCCCATGGACCACCAGCCTTGTTCCAAAGTCGTTTGGATACGTGCAGCCACACCATGTGCCGTTGCACCAGACAAGATTGATAACCTGCCCGTCGTATATCGACCAACAAGGACGCCCGGTGCAGATCCCTCCTAGGCTCCTACGACATGAACCCCCAATTGAGAAGACCCATATCCATTGGCGCCTCTCTATCCGTAGAATCCACCGTTTTGTTTCATGTGAGCTGTCTCTTTTCTATCGTCAAAGTCCATGTAGGTAGGCGTACCTCTTGACAAGGAAGCTGTGTTGCGTCAGCTCGTAGCTCCCACACTAAGCTGGTACGATTTTTGATGTTAGTCGCGGAGGCATGGTAGAATTCACCTCGGACTCTGCCTGTCACTTAACAGAGACAACGTCTCTTGGATCCCGCGCCAGCGGATTCACTCGTTGCTTCTTCCTCTTTGGCCCTTTTCGGGTTGTCTCATCCCAGTCTTCCATGGTAGACGCTCCTTTGCAATCATTGGCTAGTCTCCTTGACAAGCCGCCACGCTATACCTGCCAAAAGTCCACATTCACCGCCCGCATCCTCTCTTTCAACCGTATCTCCACCAAGCGAGCAGGAGAAAGGCGCTTGTTCGGAAAGAGATTCCTTACAGCCACTCACCGGCGCCTTCCTCGGGACTCAACGCCCCTTGGCAACTTCAACTCAGATATAAACCGGTCCCTTCTTCTCCTCTATTCTCTACCTAGATATCTCTACAGACACACAAACCAGCAGCTTCCACAATGACACGGCAACTCCCTCAACTATCTCGTCATGTCGATGCCCAGGGTAGCGGATCCAGTCAACCTACCCGCACCAATGCCGCCTACACAGTGAAGGAAGCGCCGTTCGGGACTCCGCAGCCCATTCGCATTGCCGGGATCGGTGCCGGTGCAAGCGGGATCAACCTGATCCGTACTCTGAGAAACACTCTCAGTGCCTCGACGTACGAGCTTGTGGTCTACGAGAAGAACGAGAATGTCGGGGGTACCTGGTTCGAGAACCGGTACCCCGGGTGCAAGTGCGACGTGCCGAGCCACAACTATCAGTTCAGCTGGAGACCGAATCCGGCCTGGTCGAGCTTCTTCGCCCCCGCGGCAGAGATTGAGGACTACCTTTGCCAGATATGTGACGACGAGCAGCTGCGGCCCTTTATCAAGACTTCTCATCAGATCATCGGGGCGGCTTGGTCAGAGTCCAAGGCTTTATGGGAGTTGCAGATCAAGAACTTGGGGACTGGCGCCGTTTTTGAAGACTATGTCAACTTTTTTATCGACGCAACCGGTATCTTGAAGTACGTAAATTGTCATTCAAGCTATCATCTGTGTCAACATCTGACTTGCCTAGTAAATGGAGATTTCCAGACGTGGAAGGCATCTCGCTATTCGAGGGTACCCTTATTCACAGCGCAGGCTGGCCCAAAAACTTTGACTATACAAACAAGACAGTGGCAGTCATTGGAAATGGCGCATCCGGTGTCCAGATTGTCCCAGCAATGAGACCACGTGAGTATGTCCCGCCCCTATCACGGCGACGCAGCCAGCTTACAGCAAGCAGACGTGAAGAAGCTACACCATATTATCCGGACGCCAACGTTGATAATCCCTCCTCGGGTTGCCACAATGAAGATGGGACCTTCAGCAGCTCTCCTCAGCCAAATCGAGATGGACGAGAACGAGCGATTCTCAGCGGCGACAATCGAAAAGTTCAGAACGGACCCGGCGTTCTACAACAAGTTTACAAAGACTCTCGAGATGGACTCCAATATTAAGTTCGCTATCTCGCTCATTGCTGGAAGCCCTCAACAGGCATAGGCTCTGGGAAAGACCAAGGAATTCATGACGGCCATGCTCAAGGGGAATGAGAAGCTCTGCAAGCAATTGATACCCGACTTTCCCCTTGGATGTAAGCGGCTCACTCCCGCCCCAGGATATCTAGAATCGTTCCACGACCCTCGGGTCTCCCTTCACACCGACGCCATCAAGAGGTTTGTGCCCCAAGGCGTAGAATTGGCCACTGGGGAGATCCTCGATGTTGACGTTGTCGTCTGCGCCACTGGCTTCGACTCATCGTTCCTTCCATCGTTCCCTTTAGTCGGTCGACACGGCAACTTGCAGGACATCTGGTCCGAGCAAACACCTAAAGCATACATGTCCCTTGCCGTTGCAGGTCTGCCAAACTTCTTCAGTGAGCCAGCCTTCCCTCGCGCTCACAGCTTCGAAGCTAATCATTCTGCTTGCTCTAGAGTTTCTCGGCCCTAATGCACCTGTTGTGCAAGGTGATGTTTTCACACTCAGCGAGCACGTTGCCACTTACATCGCCAACACCATCCTCAAATGCCAAACGGAAGGCGTACGGACTATTGCACCATCTGAAGTGGCCGTGGAGGACTATTTTGAGCATATCTCAGCCATGATGCCTCGCACAGTCTTTGCGGGCGGATGCAGATCTTGGTACAAGCAAGGCGAGGTCAACGGCCCTGTGACAGGTCTGTATCCTGGAAGCCGTATGCACTTCATCCGCTTGCTGGAGCGATTCAGGGGCGAGGACTGGGAGTACACGTATGAGAATGCAAATCAGAACCGATTCGCATACTTGGGCAATGGATTCACCGCGCCGGAGATGGCGATGCTCAAAGCTGGAGTACCGCCTTCCTGAATGTGGTGGTGGGGGCCATTGGGGGGGCAACATTGGCTTGTACATAGACAGGGATAGACGACCGGACCTTGTTTTCAGTGGCATCACTTTCTGGGTGGTTTGCAGGCGTTGATTTCTGGGAAGGGTATAGTTCTTGGCATGACGGATAATGAAGTCGTTATGGGTGTGTGACGATTCAAGCGAGTCTAATACCAGAATGGCATGTGACACACACACACACACACCTACATGAACAACACTTGAACTTTTCGATACCATTATCGCTTTTCCCTGCTGTCCCCGACTTGCCGCCTAAATAAGCCTCGAGTCGTCAAGTGAGACCCCTGTTTTTCTTTAAAGTCGGAGGAGCCGCGGCCTGCGGGAGTCGTCCAATGTCTCGGATGCTGAGCCACTGAGTGGTTGTGTCCAGGCGACTTGGCGCGGCACACCCGAGTGTTGGTTACGTTTGGTGGTTGCCGCCATGAATCAACTTACTTTTATCCCTGGTCCAGCTGTGTGCTGCCTGCTCGTACGGATTTTCCGTGAGAGAGACGAGGGCTCGACCGACTTTTTGGGAATGGCGCTGTCTTGGGTCGCTGGATCGGAAGGTTAAGTTGCTTTGGCGTTGTCTCGATTTCAGTGATGGCCTGTACTGGCTCAATTGGATTGTATGAGTGCCTGCTCGTTCAGAGCATATAACTTAAAGGTTGAGATAGAGAGGAGTGGTGTTTGATGATGAAACCGCTCAGATGAAGAAGTTCATACGTGGCTGGATGATAATGGAACATACTCTACCTTCTAGAGCACGAGTGCCATCGAGGGAGCGATAATACTAGTTCATAAGTCTCTGATAGCTTATGTCGCAACTGAACTGCATAGTTGGCTGGAGACAATGGGATGCCGCACGGGGAATAAAGGCAAGTGACGCCAAACTGTCGCTGAATGAGTTGTGCTCTGACATGGCATGAATCCGTAATCGGGTATCCGGGATGGCTTCGAGTGAGTGCCATGGTTTAATGTAGACCATTGACAACTCCGTCATCCCGAAACCTTGTGGCTTGGATGGTGGGGAGTACAGTCTTCGGTTTTGGAGTGAGATTATCATCAAGAGCGCAATAGCCTACCTTGCAACAGAAATACCCAGCCCAATGTGTCAGTTTTACACTCGAAGAAGTTGGTGAAGGTGGGATTTCAGAGTCCCAAGAGGCATACATTCAGCTTTAGACGTATTTCTTCAAGCCACGTTCACGTTATTCCCTCATTTGCGGCAACTCTGAAATGATGATTCCCAGCTGTTACGATATCTGAACATGACTGATTCGGTTTCACCTGGCATGGTGGCATTAGCAACGTTGTAGCCGCTCAATGACTGAGAGCTGGGCAGAGAGAAGTTCACGGTGATTGCCTTCTTGACTTTGATTGAACATGTACTAGTGTGTCTAGGGCTCTATATTCCCTCTTTGATAGAAATTGGGCATCCTAAACTCTCGCCTAGTTGACCAAAACCTCCATAAACATCCTTCAGAGACGGACGTCGTCGTTGAGGAGAATAGAGGAAATGATGAGCCGAACAACCACAGCTTGGCTTTCTACACGCTCCAGACTTCCCAACTTGTGTACAGTACTTTACACGGCTTTTCGACTACTTGAAAAGTGAAGTTTCCGCTGGATCGATGGTTGTGCATGAGAAATGGTTGGTTGGCACGTACTTTGTTGGTTCAAGTCGATCGTCAAAGCGCCACCCCGTCCAGTGGCCCGACCCGCTCCATTAGGAGCCGGCGCTTAGGAGCATACACCGACCAACTCCGAGTCCCGTTTTCCTCTTGTCTTCTGACTCCTGCAGATATCTGACTATGAGTATTCTAGCGCCTCATTTCTCGAGTTTGATCCGCTCCTCAAATCTCTATCAAGGTCGAGGCAGAGAGGGACCAGTACGTCGACGGGGCCGTGGCCTACAATAATCCCGCCCGCCTTGTCCTGAGTGAGGCCGAGTCCTACTTCGGCCCGAGGCGGACGTTGGGATTTCTCCTCAGCTTGGGCACCGGACTTAAAGTCTCCGATAAGGAAGTCAACGTAGTTCCTCCTGGGCAGCCTATAGATCGTCCGGTTGTGGCCAGACAAGGCAGCGGCGCCCTCTTCTCAAGAGGCACGATAAAGATTGTCAAGCATGCCAAAGCATCGCTGACTGATTCGGAGCCCGAGCACCAAGCCTTAGAGGAGCGGTTTCTGGGAACACCCTACGCATACTGGCGTTTGAATTTGGACCGGGGCGCTGCGGATATCAAGCTGAATGAATACCAGAAAATGGGTTTGTTGCGGGCGGCGACGGAGAGGTACATACGAGACTTTGAAGTCTCTGCCAACATCGACAAGATTGCCAGCATGTTGTACAAAAAGGAGGGTGTCAACATGTCTCTTGATGCCGCATGTGAGTATCCTCATTAAGCTACTATGTTTAGTGACTGAAACGGAGTAGGCCATGCGGTATCCGAAGCGGCCTCGAGGCAAGCCGTTCAGCAAGAGGTGCAGATCAACAGCATTGCAAGCCCTCAATTCACTGGCAGATTAGACATACTCAGCAAGATGGAACGGCACTTTTACGAACGCCCGGCCGGATCTTCACCTAGAAGACATCTCAGAATTTGGGGCATGGGAGGCGTTGGGAAGACGCAGATTGTCCTCAGATTTAGAGACTTGTATGGGTCAAGGTACGTGGCATGATATCCATCTCGACCCATAGTTTTCTTACTTTATTCGCGTATCTTAGATTCGACCGGGTGTTTTGGATCAACGCCGCCTCCATAACTTCCATGATCGAAAGCTTCAGATTATTAACAGCTGAAATCTTCGGCGGAGAGCCCAGCAGACCTGATATGAAGAAAGTTCATAATTGGTTGGCACAGAATCATACTGAAGAGTGGCTTCTTGTATTCGACAACAATGATTCAATCGACGTGAGCCATTATATCCCTCCGGGGAATATTGGAAACACTATCTTCACCAGCAGACGGAAAGATATAACACCCACCCTGGACGCCGACCAAACAATCCCGGTCGACGTTATGGATGCAGAGGATGCAGTCACCCTATTTCTTCGCGCCTCGAAAAGACAAAGGACAAAGTCCGGAGATGCTGACGACAGATACGGAAGAGAAATTGTTCGCGAGCTTGGATATCTCCCATTAGCCATCGATCAGGCCGGTTCCTATATTTACAACCAGGAGTGTTCATTCGCAAGCTATCTTGCCAACTTCCGGGATCGCCGAAAAGATATTCTAGGAGACCCTATGTATCCGGGAGTCTTTGAGCATAATCCCGCTGTTTACGGTACATTTGAGCTCTCGTATGCGGCGTTGGAAATGCGGTCACAGCAAAACAGTCACAGCGGCCGGGGCTGCTTTAAATGCTCTTCGTATCCTCAACATCTTCTGCTTCTACCATAATGAGAAGATTACAAGTGAGATTCTCAGTAGGGCAGCAGTTAGTAGAAAAAGGGATTTAGATCCCTTGCGCGGCGAAGAGGGTGGCGTCGGCATTGGGCCGCTGCCGTTGCTCGATATCACCAGAGAAGGCGATTGGGATCCGACCAACTTCGAAAATGGAATCGCGACGCTGAGAAGCTATTCTTTGATCAAGAGTTCTACTTTGGTCGGATGGTGGTACTCTATGCATGTTTTAGTACACTCTTGGGCCAGAGACCGAATGAAGCCCGAGACTCTGACTCTACAACGCAAAGCAGCTGGCGAAATACTCTATCTTACGGTTGAGAGAAACAAAGGCCTCAGTTCGGAGCTCTTCCGCCCCCAGGTGCTGCCGCATATGCAGGCATGTTTCGAGCACGGAAGCCTAGAGTTCATGAAGTTGACGGGGGAGACGTATAGAGAAGGTTTGTTCTCAAGTGCGCTTATGGACTTGGGACTCTGGAACAAAGCTACGCAGGTCTTAGAGGATATCGTTGCTGCTAGCCAAGAGATGTTCGAGCCTCAAGACATAAATAGCATAGGGGCCTTGTGGGATCTGGCGAGGGCCTACCGAGATTCCAGCAGGTTAAAGGAGTCCCAGGCGCTTTTCCAAGATATTCTGACATTGATTGAGGACCACAGCGAGTCCGAGATCGCGCGCCATTCTCCTCGCATCAGCATCGACCTGGTTGAGTTGTTGATCATCCAAGCAAGATACAAGGAAGCCAAAGATTTGCTAGCTATACTTCTAGAAGTAGGAGAGCAAGTCGGGCGAGACGGGCCGTGGTCCAGGGGTTGGTGGCGCAAGACTGTGAGAGCGCTTGCAACCGTCTTTCGGATGGAGGGCAATGCTGAGATGGCTTACAGCATTGACGTGTATTTCCTACAGTGGTGTTTGGAGAGGAAAATCTTTTCTCTGACAACGCTGAGCGCAATGAACAGTGTCGCAGCGTCGTGTTCAGCCATGGAGGCGCACCATGATGCGAACCAAACGTGGCGCGAAATTCTCGCCGTTGAAGAGGGGTTGGAAAATAACTCGAGGATCCTGCCGTCGAAGCGAAATGTCGCAACCGGTTGCGCGAACCTGGGCCGGTTTGAAGAGGCAGAAAAAATCTTGCGCGAGGTTCTTGAAACGAGCGAAAAGGTTCTGTGGAGGACGCATCTTGATACACTGGCAACGATGGATCAGCTGGCGGGTGTGTTGGCCCGGTGTCAGAAGACAGAGGAGGCTGTCCGGCTATGGGAGGAATGTCTCGATGGTTGGGAGGATATTCTGCGCGAGCAGCATCCTCTCAAGCAGCGAACAAGGTGGGCGTTGGAGAAAATAAGAAATGGCGATACCGGCCTCGTACAAGAGGATTTCCAGGCTGGTGGATGCATGTTTTCTGGAGGATGCTATTTCGTACCTAAGGAGGTGCCCAACCGGGATCGCCGTTTGCTGACTTGGATGCCATCGTCAGAAGAGGGGCACATCAATACGCGAAATGGAGTAGAAAGCGCAAAAGCGTAATAATAGAATGGAAAGACTCTTCTTTCAACTGAACTTCTGAAGTCAAGATGACTTGTGGATGACAACCCTGACCAAGGCTGTTGCGTGTGTGTACTCTGACCACCAGGTGACGACAGCTCGCAATAGTGACATCGGAGATGCCTTCGTCGCCGCCGTTCAGAATGATATGGCCGCACACAACTCTCTCTCTTTAGTTTATTATATAGAGGTACGTTGTACAAAGGGAGGGATCAGGTAAAGCCTACAATTTTCTTAGAAGTGGTATGTAGCTGGGTAGCCCGTAAGTACGGGTCCCAACTGCCCCGGAGATATTCCAACATGAATACGGATACTCACCCATTGTTAAGCAGATACCGTGTGTAATCTTGATTGTTGTGCACTGTGTGGATCACCTCGTTGACCTCCTATCAGAAAATGGTGATTTGCATGACGGAGTACCTAAACATCATTTGTCAGTTTCCTGAACAACCAGCAACGAGGTGGCCATCATTAATAAATTGAAGGCACGAGAACAGTATTGCGTTCCGGCTTCTAGGAGTCACATCGATTCACGACTCACTTACTAGTGACGTCGTTGCAGCCCCCCGACCCAACAAACTTCATCATCCCCAACCCGTCACCAATGCGGTCTGCGTCAGTTTTGAGGATGGCCTCGGCCTCCGTATCAAAGGGCAACGGCCTCAGGCCCGCACCGATGGCCCTCCTACCCCCTATTCCGCTATACCGCCGTCTTCTGCGCGCTCACCGCAAGCACCTTCCTTCCGAGATGCGCCTACTGGGTGACGAGTATATCAAGGCTGAGTTTCGTGCTCATCGCACAGTAGATAACCCGGCGCACCTGGTACGTCCTCTGCTTTGGTGATGGCATGATTGTGAAGAGTATTTCTTTACACGAGAGAAGTGACTAATCCTTTCCTCGCAATGTGCTAGATCGGTTTCTTGACTGAATGGCAGTTATATGCGCAAAAGATCGAGGGCAACTCGTGGGTTGGCGAGAAAATCGACCCTGTCAAGGTTGCTAAGATGAGTGGTGAGTTTTCTCATCGATTTTTTCTTCGGTCTGGCCAATGACTCATTTCCCTGTTAGACGAACAAATCGGTCAACTTTATGAGCTGATGCAGGCGATCAAAGAACGGCGTGAGTCAGGTGAAGGCGAGGATCAATCGTGATGTCGCTGCCTTAATGAAGGAAAACACCATCAAAGTCAATGATGCGAAAGGCGCGACTTATGCGGGCTTGTATTAATATCTATGTAAATATATACCTTTTGCGCAGCGTCGTAGTCATCTTTCAGCGGCCCTCAAACGCCTCGACAATCCAGTCGGCTTGGATGATGCTTACTTTCTTAGCATAGTTTTTCTGCGTGAAAACATGCTCAAGGAACATGATGGCCTCCTTCTTCTGCCCGTGTAGCACACTAGACGGGTGAATGGCCACAACATGCTTGCCTTGTGACGTGACGTAGCTCGCATCCGGCGCCAGTATAGCTGTCTTGGACACGAAGCCGCGGAGGAAGCACTTGAGCAGAGCCTCGGCCTGTTCCGGAGCCAGAGGAGTAAAGGGCTGAGGGTCTGGCGGCGGAGCCTCTGTGAGAAGGCCTTCTTTGAGGCAGAGGCTACGTAGTTGCCTGCGGATGTTGAGCGCTGTCTTCATGTTGCGAATGTTGACCTTTCTCTGCTTGCACCACTGTATACGGTCGGCGTTCTCGGCGGCGTATTGTTGCATGGTGGTAAGATATGTTAGGATGTCGCCTTCCCGGCGGTAGAGCTCCTTGCGGAGTTCTTCAATTTCCTCGCGTTGTTCTTCTGACTGCAGCTGATGGAAAATGTCGTCGCCAGACGTGATGCAGGAGATGACGTCTATCGTCTCTAGGACACAGTCGAATTCCGGCTTGGCAGAGGCAAGCAGAACCGCCCCAAACGCCGCGGAGATGGGAAATCCCGCCATCTTGCGGCCTGCCTCAGTTATCGTGCCGTCGTCTGCCAATGCACCGAGTCCATGAAGGCTAACTAGTGCTCGTTCGATGGCTTCCACATCCGGGGTGTCCATAAGGGGGAAACCAAGAATGTCATCAATGCCTCGCGCTTTCATCGTCAAGACAGCTCCCAGAACGTCGATCCTAAGGATCTCTGGCAAATCTGTTTCTTCGAGTGTGCTGAATGTACCTTCAGTGTATAGCCTGAAGCACTTGCCAGGGCCTTCACGACCAGCACGGCCTGTTCGCTGGATGGCGGAAGACCTGGAGATAGGCTTTGCTAGTAACGATTCCATGCCGAGGCGAGCGCGGAATTGCTTGACTTTGGCCTTGCCGCCGTCTACCACGTAACGTACACCGGGTACAGTGACGGACGTCTCAGCAATATTGGTAGCAAGTACGATTTTCCGCGTGAAACCTCCCTTGACAGGCTGGAAAGCTGCATGTTGTCCTTCCATGGAAAGCTGACCGTACAAGGGTAGGACCTTGATCCTGGGAACGTTGGAGGCTAGCGTTGCGGCGTACTCCTCGAGCAGTGACTGCGCGGATTCGATTTCCTCTTGTCCGGTCAGGAAAGCAAGAATGTCGCCAGGCAGTGGCTCTTCCACATGGATTTTGAAAATCGTCTTCAAGAGAGATTCCTGGATATCCGGCACTGGTTGGGGAGTATGTATCGTCTTGACCGGGTACTGCCGGCCCTGGATCTTCAGTACTCCAACAGAGTTGATTCTGTTGTTGACCAAATCGTCACCGCCGCTTGTTTCTTCATGAGCATTCGCAGAGAAGAAACTTTGAATGCGCTCAACATCGGCCGTGGCACTCATGACAACAACCTTGAGTGGTATGCCGCCGCGGCCCTTCCGGCTACTAAGCAGGATTTGCTTGAGGAATCCGGACACCAAATCCACGTCAACACTTCTCTCGTGGATTTCGTCAACGACCACGGCGCTGTATTGTTTCAAATCTGGATCTCTCAGAAGCTCCTGAAGAAGCATACCCTCGGTGAGGAACTTGATCTTCGTGCCCTTGGGAACCTGGTGATCGAAACGAACCGAGTATCCAACTAGTCCGTCGCGGCTTTCACCAAGAGGCGTCCCAGCCTCGCGGGAAACTCGATGCGCTAAAGTCGTGGCGGCAACTCGACGTGGTTGAGTAACTGCGATCATGCCACCGACACTGACTTCTCTTGCCTCTGCGATACTGACAGTTTGTCTCCTACACCACGGCTCTCTGACCAAAAATTGTGGTATCTGAGTACTTTTTCCAGAACCAGTTTCACCAACAAGAAGAAGTACATCGTCTTGGCGTACGCGAGCTTGTATCTCCTCCCGGTGTGCCCATATGGGTAACTTTTGCCTGATCTTCAATAAGGCAGGATCTTCTCTCCATCTTTGGCCTCTTTTGTCAGGTCTTGGCCTGTCTCGATGCTGGAAGGTTTTCGACGAATGCTTGATGAAAGTCGGAGCTGTTTGATGCGAATACTTCGAATCTTTGGCTAACACGTCCGACGCGGCATCATTTTCTGTATTCTGAACAGACTGCAGCTCTCCTGTTGGACGTTGCTGAATTTCCGCTTCTTTTTCCTTTGCTGGGGGGTTGAGATATCCCTCGAGAGAAATGACTTTATTGCCAACCTTGATAGTATTCTTGCCATTAAGCTTCCGCTTTTTGGGGGCGCGTTCAGTGTCTAGTATAGATGACATGTTGAGGCTGCTAACAGAGTTTGCGATGTGTAGTCGGCAGTTAAGTGAGAAATAGATGGGAAGTGAGAAGAGATTTATGGGGAGAGTGCTAAATTTGGTTTCGTACCCAGCCGGTTCTTAATTGGATGCCTGCCCCGTATTTGTACAGGGCACCTAAGGGATGCACATTGGTACCTGCCTGCCTCATTACAATAGCCGCAACGTCTCATCCAGGGCATCTTTCTTAAATAAGGTAATGAGAATAAGACAACTGATAGAAATCCATGAAGTACATAAGCTATGGTATTATGTAGTCAATGCTCAATTGGTGCAATAAATACTTCTGCCAGGTTGTCAAATTGCGCCAGACCTTGCCCGTAACCATTATGTTGAGCAGATGGCCAACCTCGAAAATCATGTGTCCCAAGTGCAAATTGCGTCACTTTGGTCGCTCTCAAGCGTTTTCCCTTACTCGTACCGATACAAGTCGCTCGCTTGCTCACGGTTTCTCATATAGCAAGGCTAGCCTGACAACACTCACTCGTCGATACATGATGTACACCCCAGCAATGGCGGACCGCTACAGGCTCATCCACACCGTGCCAGGTTCGGTCTGCCTGGCATCATCAAACTCGAACAAAAGCATGCTGACTTCCTTCTCTGGCACTTCAACAGCGTCCCACTTGGTCGTTACGAAAGACACCGTCTTTGAAACAGGTGTCGGTGTCTACGATCAGGGTAAGTACATCCAAGTGGCCTTCGAGCTTACAGGCCAAGGCCAATTCAGGCCCGTAGCGGCAGCTGGGGCAGACCCTCACACAGGCTCGGCAGGCCAACTTGAGTGAGTCCTCGAGTATCGAGTCGAAATCCTGTGCTCTGACAGAGATGTTGAGAAAGCCGCTGTGGCAGCTCTTAAAGGTGTGCAGTTTGAACTCAAGAGGTACTTCATGTTTTTGATTGACAATATGCTCTCTATAGCGCGCACCCTTACAAAACACCGGCCTATGAAGTTTACAGGTTGGTGAGCGTTTAGTTACCGACCCTGCTCTTCTTTGTCTTCTTTGTGAGCATTTTCACAGAGAGGATAGTCGATGGTATTGGCTCCCGGCCATTCATCTGATGCGGTTCAGACGTTCTCTGTTCATCCTGACTCCGTCATCGACAGCATCACTCTGGGAAATGTGATTTAGCATCAACACAAAACAATAAGGAAATTGAGGGAAAGACCAACCTTCTTGGCAATATTGTCGATGAGAACGTTCTGTGTATCGATTTCTGTTCCAATAGCGCGGGCTGCCATGTTGATTATACCCACCGACCGGCCAGTTTCAAGGAGGCCTTCCTGAATCGCCCTCTCTGCTTCTTCTGCTGCAGCGGCGGCTTCCTCATCACTTTCGTCTTCTAATGCGAATTGGGACTGCCCTACTGGCTTGCTTTGTTGTCCCGCCGCCTTTTGAGGACGACCAGACAGCGACATCTCCCTGAAGGTATCTTCCATTCGCTGGTTGGACTTGAAAGCCTCGTGTCTAGTTGTCTCGCGAACTTCGCGCTCTTGCCGGTGTCGGTCAAGAATCGCCGCATCTCGCTCTGCCGCACGCGACTTGGATGTGAATGGGTTGCTCATGTGAACTGCGAACATACTTCCGTTTGCCTTTTTTAGATCCTTGGCACCCTCCTCCGCCTTCTTGTTGTGGTTTGCCGCTATGTCCATGTTCCTTTCCGTGTTGTGCAGACGCTCGCCCTGGGCAGCAATCCGGGCGAGTGTCGCATTGGCTACGTCCACAGTGTTGCTCGCATTTTGACGCAGTCTTTGGGTGGTCTGAACGGAATCATTTCTGACATCCCTGATTTGTGTCTTGATAGCACGGTATTCCTCCTGCTCTTGCTCTTCGGCTGTGAGCTCACGGGGGGCTCCGTATCCGCCGTATCCTCCATCAGCGCCAGACGGAGTCGATTGACCGTACGCTCCAGCCTGAGGCTTGTTCTGCTGGTATCTATCTTGAGCCCCGCTGAAGAGCTCGTCGCGCACAGCATCGGTGCTGTCACTGTTGGTCCGGCCCAAGCCTCCGTAACCTCCGGGCCCGCGAGCTCCGCCAGTAGCACCTGATCGCTGATTCGCGCCATAGGCGTTCTGGTTATCGTCGTAACGGTTCGCCCCGTATCCTCCTGCGGCTCCGTACTTTTCGTTCCCGTAGCCACCGGCAGGCTGTGGCGGGGCACCGTAGCCAGCACCGGCCCGAGGGCCGCCAGGAAGGCCGCCAGGGGCACCGCCATTGATGGGCGCACCAGCTCGTGCTCGTTGATAGGGCGTCATGCCGGCGTACTTATTCGCGTCCTGGGCGTAGGGATCGCCGCCAGCTGGAGCTTGTGCGTAGGGATTGTCGCTGCCCGGAGCAGGAGACTTGCTCTTTCGACCGAAGAGGGCGGAGCGGTTGGCATCGTCGCCTTCGTCGCCGCCTTTCTTGCTGAAGCCGAACTTCTTCATGGCGAGGAGTGATAGAGTGGAGGGTTTAGGTTTCGTCGGGGTATGGTGAAGGTGGGTGTACAATTGGATTTGTTCTAGAATGAAGCAAAACACAACGTGCCGCTGAAGGTTTGTCTAAGAGAATGGAACGGAAGGTGAGGATACGTATAAAAATAAGGAGTAGTCAGGTCGGGAAGGGACAGCACGGTAGATGGCTAGATGCAAGACGGGCAGCACCAGCGGGTCCAGCGGGGACCCAGCGGGGTTGGACAAGGGGCGTCCAGTACCAGCTTAATGTGGCAAAATCGGGCCCGTCTTGGGTGTGTTTCGAAGGCGAACGGAAGTGCCCCCTCAGGCTTCAGGGTCTAAGCCATAAAACATTCGTCAGGCTTCTAATGGTTTGGGCCTGACTTGGGGAATTGGGCTTGGGCCAGCGTCGACCCGAAGCGCAGCGAATCAAATATGCAAACTGCCTGGATCAGGCACATCATCCTGCTCAAGTCATTGTGGCCGTTCGAGATGACAGGGAATGAGTTAGCCACCTCGGTACTTCGTGTTGACATTTGAATTGAGATACGGATATCCGTAGGGACACACTCACACATCAGTCGCTATGTCGACAATCATATTATGGCGCAAGGAGCGGGCTATACAATGGTGGTCATCACCAGCCTATAGCAGCCCTCCATGCTCGACTCAGCCTCGAGTCTAGCGCTGGAATCATGGTACGCTTTTCCTTGGTGGGTTTTCAGCTTATTACTGCGTAATCCGGATTTGTTTTGTCGTACCGCAACCAGACTCATGAGTTCAATGTCGAAGGTAAGATGCGTCTGACACGATGACACACAAAGCAGCGCAGTACCTAGGTAGGCATACAGGAACAAAGGTAAGCATTGTGCTGTCTCACTAGGTACCTTGGGTACACAGGTTAGATAGGCACTGATAAGGCACCTTCTCATAGGTGATGTATCAGGCGGCATGGGGCTGAAGAAGCCGGTCGCATCTGTGTATACATAGATATCTGTTGTCCTCACACCACTTCCCACGCGCATCTAATCTAAGCACGCTGCAAACTGTGCAGTAGCATTATTGCTTATGCTCCATCAACATGGCATTATGCACTCACTACTCTTTCATAGCAAAAAAGAGGTGAAATGAGGCATTATCTGCGAAGCAAATGATCCCAGTCTCGCCCAGGAGAACGGTTCTGCCAAGTACCTCGACCGTGTCTGTGCCTGGAGGTCAAGCGAATGCAGCCTTGAAAGACCCTTGGTGCGTGTAAATGCGGCGAGACAGCTTGGCTGTCGAGTCCCGATTGAGTTGGAGATTCGTATCCGTGCAAATATCTACCTACTTGCAGGCAGTAATGACTTTCATTCTGTACCGGATGCCCGGGTTTCACAGAACTAAGGTACGGAAGGGGGAACAAAGACAACCGGACTGCTGTTGGGGAGACTTATTGGGTCCCCGAGGTAAAATACTCCGTTTATGGATACCACGAGTACCTACGTACAAACCTGGCCGGAGTCCGAGGATTCAACGCACGGCGAACGACTAAGGTATCCTGGGGACCATACCTATGGATAGGTGATTGCGCTAGTATTCAAACTTCAATATGAACGTTGCAGCTGAACTATTTTCAACAGCAATGCTGGCTCTGTCATAGCCAGCCAAGCCCAAGATCGACAATGTAGGAGCTGGACAAAGCCATTCAACAACCGCAGGCGGGAAAGGAAGGTGCCACGGTGCGTAAGGTTGGCATGAGTGAGTCGCAGCGCAGATAAATTCTGAGGGCCCTGGCCAGAGTCGTCGCTACGGGCACTTTGATGCAAATCAACGCTGTGGAGGAGCGTGGACTCATGGAGTCATTCACCGCCGACGGGTAAATGGCTGCACCTGCCTTGGTCGCGAGGTACGCTGGTAGTGGATTACCCGCACTTTCCCCGCCCAACTTCAAAGTCAAGCCACTCAGAGAGGTGCCAGTTTCCCATCTTACCATCTTACCTAACAAGGGTACTTACCTATATTAGTCACTCTTGAACTTGGCTTCCGGCCAACTGCGTCACACCTCAGCTGAGACCTCTCACCGTCCTTCGAGTCATTACTCTGGCCAGACTGTAACGGCGTCAAAAACTTATCCATAGCCTCCAGTCTTTTAGCACACTTTCAATCCTCCATACTACAAATCACAGAGTCAATCGCGTACAGGTAAACGATACGCCATGGCCTTCAACTAGGAATCCGATTGAGATTCTTCTCCATCACTCCACAGTCAGCAACAGCGCCTCGAGCACGTCGCAGATATCACCACTCAGCTCACTTATCAAAATGATACCGCGCATAGCGTCTCGTTCCTCTGCCCTTTTACCTGCAATAGCCCTTCGAACCCGGCGTTGACATCCATCCCAAATATTTTTGCTCCTCGATATTACACGCTTGAGAAACTGCCACGCTTTCGCTACTGCACCCACTACCCTATCGCCACCCTCGTACTTGTAACATGGCTTCCGGCTCAATATTCACATTCGATACGGACCCTCAACGAGTCTCATCCCCATGGCTGGCTCCTGAAGACCCTGGGAGGAGGTCCAACTCTGACAACGGACAAGTCCAGCCGGGGCACCTCTCAGACTACGGCGTCACCAAGTTGGAGGCAGAGCCGCAAGAAGGTCCCACTGAATACAAGCTTCACCTCTTATTGCGACCAAGACGGACGTATACCGCTATGAGCACCATCTCCTCCACCCAGAACTCCAGAATTTCCGCCAGCCGCTCAAAGATTGCAACTGCAGCCCTATCAGCCTCCAGTCAGAGTCGACAAGTCCGCCTACAACAACTGACTACGCAATTGCTCTGGAGGCTCCAGCAATCATGTGCCTACCATGCTCTGAACCCCAAAGACCTCATTATACCAAAATTGCCCGACGATACGGACGACTTAAGTCAGGCGATGACACCACAGAAACCCCTCCCCGGCTTGGAAGAATCACGTGGAGCGTTGTATGAGATTGGTGTTGCTGATGACGGGACTCTGGTGGGGCTGACCAAAGACGAAATGGACGAGAGCATCACGACACTCAAGGTTATGGCAGCCACGCTGGGCTGCCGCGTCGAAATCTTACGCCACGTAATTGTTGGCGAGTGCGAGTGGCTAGAGACGTCCGAGTTGGTGGATAGCGGGGCAACTCAACCTGCCCAAATTGCTCGACAGGCAAGACTTTGGGTCGTGGAGGCTCTCGTTACTCCCGACTACTCAATGAAGAACGGGCACGCAGGTGGCTCGACAGAGGGGTGTCGCGAAGTGAAAGAACCGCCAAGGGTGACCGAGTCTGTTGTGCAACCAAGTAGAGGGCGCTCTACTACGGATCAGCTAAGAATAACGCTCACTGGACCAACAACGTCTGGAAAATCTACTTTGCTGGGTACTTTGTCCACGGGGACCGTCGACAACGGCCGAGGGAAAAGCCGGATCAGTCTCTTCAAACATCGTCACGAGGTGGCGTCTGGGCTCACTAGCTCAGTAGCACAGGAGCTTGTCGGGTACAAGGACCGTGCCATATTCAACTATTCGCAAGATCACGTCGAATCGTGGATTGATATACACGACAGTGCTGAGAATGGTCGCCTGGTTTTTGTTTCCGATTCCGCCGGCCATCCCCGTTACCGCCGGACCATCCTCCGAGGTCTGTTCGGCTGGGCTCCACAGTGGACTATTCTCTGTCTGGCCGCAGACGACGCGGATGCGAGTTCAACGAAAGACGGAGCGAGTTCCACCGCCAATGACGTTCTTGGAGTCGCAGGAGCTGGCGTTGATCTTGCCAAAGCTCATCTGGAGTTGTGCCTGAAATTGAGGACTCCTCTGGCCATCGTCATTACCAAAATGGACCTTGCAACCAAAACCAGTCTGCATCGAATTCTTGGACAGCTCTTGACAGACGTCAAAGCAGTGGGAAGAACCCCTAAGATCCTCCAGCCAGCTCAAGGGGCTCAAGGGGCTCAAGGCAGTGTTCAGGGATGGACAGCTGTTCCTTCAGCAGACGTCGACAAGGTGAAGGCTGTCATAACAGAGATGGAGCGGGATGGAGACCTCCTCAAAATTGTCCCAATAATCCTGACCAGTGCTGTCAGCGGTGCTGGTATTGGGATGACACATGCCCTCTTGGAGAACCTTCCCCTGCCACCAATCCCTACTGCCAACGATTACATCGGAATGGCATTGAATCCCGAACAGCCGTCGTGCTTGTTCCATATTGACGACACTTTCAGCCTTCCTGCGTCATACGCTTCTCTTGCTGAGAACCCCAACCAGAATGACATGGGAACGGTTGTATCCGGATACCTACGTTTTGGTCAGCTTTCGGTCGGAGACAGCATCATTGTTGGACCATTTCCCTCCGGTGAGGATGACTTCAAAGGCATGACGCCGGAGGACCGGGCCTCTCCTGGTAATTACGGGCTGTCAATATCCCACCCCTCGTCGGCAGAACTTGCCAAAATTGCAATCCGCAATACAGTAGCAGCCTCCACAATCCAAGGAGAATGGCACAGCGCCAAAATCGTCAGCATACGTAATTTGCGGCTCCCCGTAAACACACTAGAAGCTGGTCAGGTCGGCACTATTGGAATCGTCTTGGAAATCCCTCAAGAGAAATCGGCAGAAGCGGCCTTCGAGGCACCGTTGGCAGCTCCTCGAATCCGGAAAGGCATGGTTCTGGCCATCCCATCCAAACACATGGCTGACACCGGCATGTCCCTTCAAGCAGCTAGTGGACTTACGGTGTCATTCAGAGATCCCAGCACTGCATCGCTGGCGTACGGGTCTCTCGTTAATGTTTACGTCGGCAGCGTTCGGGCGGCTGCCCGAGTCAAGGGTGTTTCCAGACTTTCTCCAAAGAATGACTCGAACAAAGTCAAGCCCGAAGAAACTGAAGATATCTTCGACATGAACGAACATGATGAATCAGCCCCTACCCATGATGTTGAGTTTTCGGAGGGCGTTCAGGTTACATTGGAGCTGCTAACCAGCCGAGAATGGGTCGAGATGGGTTCTCAAATACTTGTCCTGGAGGGAGGCCGCAACGATAGATCCGGTCTAGAGGGCTTCGTGGGAACTGTCGTCGAGATTATGGATTGATGCTTTCTGCGTTTTGGGTGGGAGTTTTGGTTTCAGTAGACTTTGTAACGGCGTCGTTGAGTGTGGTGGTACATCCTTCACCTATGTTACTATGCCAGCGTTACTATACTCTTTTTCAGATTACGGTTCTGCTATGATATATACCTGCGACTAGACCCGTATGCTGTTCCCTCAACACCTGACGCCAGAAATGCCACCTTGACCACCCGTATCTCATCATGCCCTCACCAAACCGTAGAACAACGTCCAAGTGAGAATGAAACCAGAAAGACCTCCAAGCAGCCCACTTGTCCAGAAGTCGAATGGTCCCTTGAAGTAACGGCTTGTACTGAGGATTGGGAGACCTGCCGACGTCGATTCGGGAGCGATGCGTAGAACGTAGAACAAGCCGGCGGTGATGAGAGAGAAGACGAGGTAGAAGAGGAAACCACTGTACGATTCGAGGCCGAGGATGCCAGCCGCGACACCGAAGAGGGATGCTGAAAGACTCTGCAGGTTTGATAGGGTCTGGGAGAGGCGCAAGATGATTAGCGACAAAGGTTACGTCGGCCATTAAGTTCAGCTTCAGGGACCTATCCCACCTTGGTGTTGTGCATGACGGATTCCTGCACAATGGGGGATATTTGGTAGTCGCGTTCCGACGGCATTGTTGCGGTATTGCTGGTATGCGGCGCTCAGGTCGCAGGTCGCTGGGAAACTCGTGTCTTATGAGGGCAACACCGGGATATCTCAGGTCCCGCGATCGTATCCTTTATGTCGTTGTCGATGCGCTTCGTGGTTGGAGGGTTTCTTAGACTGGTAGTGGTGTCTGTTCTGTTCCATTCGTAGAGCTCTTCCGTCACAAAGCGGGCCATGGATTAGGTAATACCAGCTTCCACACGAATAGGGTGTCTGTTGGGTTTTTGACAAGTCACTGGCCCACTGGGATTCCTTACCTAATCCTCCGGAAAGTTGCATATCGGTTTCCGGCATCTCAATGTTCCAGGCTAACTACCTGTCCAATCTTGCCTTAGTGTCCCCAGATCGGTGGGTGGAGAGTCATGTCGGTCTCGGCTCCGCCCCGTGTCGTCCCATCCAATGTACCAAATTTAAAAATATGCAAATAATAATCCCCAGGTACGCAATACGTGATGCACAAGCCACATTCTCGGTGCGCCAAACCTCACCGTGACACCGTTAGAACGCTCCGTTAGCTGGGGCAGATCATACGCAACCACCCCACCGAGGCTCCGACTTTGTACCCCTAGCACCTTAATCGATTACAGGGGTCCAGTTTGCTTCCCCATTCGCGAGTGGGCTGGTCACTCTCGGGTCGGCGCTTTGAGCGAAGTCTCCCTTCCCCCCTGGTGCGCCCTCCGCAATCACAATACGTATCCGTACATACAATCCGTATATATCCCCCGAAGCACCGTCTACCTACTATAGAGTAGCGTTTGCCCATGTTTTGCTCTTCCCTTGAGTCTTTTAATCATTAGTCGACCACAACACCTCACCATCCCTCATACCGTTCACGATCTCACGACGCAGCGGCCAACGCGACTATTTGGGGCGACAGATGGCCGTGCTGCTTGCAGGTGCCTCCTCGATACTTGCCAGGTCGCTAGATGGAGCCTGTTGTGTTTGACCAGTCGCCGCTCGCAGAGTACCTTCGTGGTGAGTGCAACTTTCTCATAGGCGACGACCCGTTATGCCATTGAGCCCGCCTGCTGACATTCTGCGCGCATGCTGTAGACGAAGGCGAAGAGGAGCAGGCAGGATGGGCGCACGACGATCCAACCTACGATGTGTCGCCTCCTTCGAGCCCAGAATTTGCGCCGACGGGTCGGCCGATGGTGAGGTCGAGATTCCGCAATAATCCCCTCAGAGTCGACATACCTACCAAAGCGGCCTCCGACAAGTCTTACAGACTCAGCTATTCGGTGCGCATCCCATAGTCCCCTATCTGTGGCACATGAGGAAATTACTGATGTGTGTCCTTTCCAGACCGCGGTAGCATCCAGGATTGACCGAGCCGACAACTCCAAATTCCTCGAGCAATTTCGCTATACTATTATCGCATCCCAGCTATTGAGTGGGCACTCCATATTATCCCAGAACCATGCATCATCCCGGCCCGCCAATGTGGCCATCGACGGAAACCCGGCCGACAAGTTGCTGGATTCAACGAGCGCGGTCGTCGTCGTTCTAGGGGCATTGGCTCTCGTCGTCTCGATCAACTGGCTCGCAGGAACAGGGCCATTGAACAAACGGCGCACTTTCGTCATTCTGTTGGTTTTTGTGATCGCTGCAGGGATCGCCCATGTGTTTATGCGTAGACAATGGCTAAGGTACAGACGGCTCCAAGCACTGTCAGAGGTCACTGCGTTTGTTTCAAACTCTCAGGAATTCGACAGCGCGACTGGCGCGGCGATTGCTCTGGTACAAGAGGTGGAACTTGTTTCCAGAGGTTACCGTCTGTAAGTTCATTTTCCCCTCTGGTCCAGTAACTGGCGAGAAAGTCCGTGGTGCGCTGACACAAACTTTAGGAGTGCGCCTCTTCCGCCCATCAGTCGCATAGAGGATCGCTCACAGACTCGTAAGTGCGTGCGCCTCCGCAGGGCATTGAGGTCGTGCTTCGCGGATGTCATTCCCGCATACGATCAGACCGTGGCGGTAGTAAAAGGGTTTTCGGAACAACTCGACCTCGAGAAGTACTACGATATCTACGATATTAGCGATTTCGACATGTCCGATGCCCAGCAGGGCTTTAAAGAGAATGAATTTGAGGATGCCGAGTCTTTGAGGACGCTCAAGATCCTCGCCGCACGCTTCCACACCATCCGGAAGATGTTTTTGTGTGCCTTGTTGGCCCTGGACGCTAGCGGTGAGAGTGACGACCTTTTGAAATGGACTACCACAGTGGAAGCGGTGCGCACTCTCAATACGGCCACTAAGAGGGCATTTGACAACCTGAAAAGACTTTTGAGCGATGAGGAGTGTAAGTGGTTTTTTGACCTTACTATGGGGGCGTGTTGACTGACGTTCTCAAGCATTCCCACCGCCACCAACTCCAAAGATGCCTTTGACACCTGGTCGGGAAAGATGGAGATCGCAATTACGGAAACTCAACTCTTTGTCCAGCGGTATCCGCGGCTTGCAGGCCAAACTAACGCTGTTGAGAGAAGAGTCTGACCGAAGCCTCAATGAGTCTGACGACATTTCCGAGCTCGGGTCCAACCTCATGTCACAGTATGAGTCCATAGGGGCTGACCTGAAGATACTGATGCAGGCCTGGGAGGAAGGCAAAGCGGCACTCGCTCTGGGTATCGACCGGAATGAAAAGCGACTTTCTTCCATGAGCACACTGCTGTCTCCGACCAGCTCTCTCAGCGGGCTGACGACAGTCGACGAAGGAGGCGGAGCAGCCGAAGCCCTGAAAGCCTTGAACGGAGAATCCCCTTCGAGTCTAGACTTTAGCAGTACAGGAGAACCAGACACGGAAGAGATCTTCGAGGCGATCGCTAAGCCGTTCCGGCCCCGCAGCTTATTGACGAGAGACGAGCGCATCGTCAAGATGAGAGAAGACCGGGAGAAGCGAGAGATCGCCAAAGAAAAGGCGGATGCCAACAAAGGCATGCTCAAGGAACTTGAGATGGTCATCAACCTCCGACCCCGCCCACGAACCGGGACGAATCCATCACGCATTGTTTCGATGTGATGAGGACATGACATTTGATGACGGACACGGCGTTTTGGTGCAGACGACTCAGCTAATTACAGTCATTTGAATCTCTCTTTTTTTTTTTCTTGGTTTCTGATATATAATCTCTGCAAACATATTCATACTCGGGATGCATATAGACGGGGATCTCAGGGAATCCGAATGGGAGGTATTGATCGCTTCCAGTTGACCAATCCGTATTGTATAATGAAATTCATGCCCAGCACGATATCTGGTGCAGGCTCAGACGTTGGGTCAGATAACCTGTACAGACCAAGGGACTTTTCATCTCTCAAGCAAGAAAGATAGTACCCGCTAGGTATCAAAAAAAAAAAAAAAAAAAGATGAGAAAGACCAATATGTTTACTCCGTACTTCCTTTTGTTTACATCTTCACCAGCCACACAAGGTAGCAACAAGTCCAATGTTTTGCGCCGTTTAATTGCTATATCCAGCAGTTGCCATCCGGACCTTGAACAAAGAAACCCGGTCGTCAGGGAGAAGAAAGGGGGAGCCACGATTCAGGGGCTTGGAGCATCAGCGTACACCCCTGGCTCGGTGAGCCCGGACCAGCTGTTATCTCAGGTGGGCCAAATGGGCCTGCGAGACTGCTCGCTTGTCCTTACGTAGGTGGACGGTGCACGAGCCAATCTGTCAGTGATCAAAACGGACTGGCTGGCGTGCGAGGTGCCTGTGAGTATTACTGCCTCCCCCCGCGCGTTGTTGGCGTTGAGCCCTATTAAACGCTTGACGCGTCGTTCCCTCGCCAGCCCACTACGACGCGCGACCGTGTTTGCCCATTAAAGTGCTTTCCGCGACAAGACCTTCTACTCTTCATCAACCCCTCAACCACAGACTTGACGATCTTAACCTTTGCAACAGCTCACAATCCTCTCCGTGCCTTCACTTCCGTTTCTTTGATACCCGAGGATACCCATCTGCTCTTTTTCTTTTCACACGCATCTCATCAGCCAGTACGTCGCATCAATCACACACTTTTTTTTTTCTTCGACAATCCTCCCAGCTTCCGATCCAGGTGCATGACGCTGATACTTCGCAGAGATGTTGGAAGCCAGACTCGACCAGGCCGATATCCTGAAGAAGGTACTGTTTTCCCAATCTGATTTGATAGCCACCCCTGCTGGTTCTTTGACTAACCTGCCCAGGTTGTCGATGCCATCAAGGATCTCGTTCAGGACTGCAACTTCGACTGCAATGACTCCGGCATCATGCTCCAGGCCATGGACAACTCCCACGTTGCCTTGGTGTCTATGGCTCTCAAGGCCGAGGCCTTCTCTCCTTTCCGCTGCGACCGCAACATTGCGCTCGGCGTCAACCTTGGCTCCTTGACCAAGGTCCTCCGCGCCGCCCAGGGCGACGACATCCTGACGCTCAAGGCTGAGGATGCCCCCGACAGCCTGAACATTCTCTTCGAGAGCTCAGCCAACGACCGTATCAGCGAGTACGACCTTAAGTTAATGGACATTGACCAGGAGCACCTGGGCATTCCTGAGACGGACTACGCCTCCACAATCACCATGCCGAGCAGCGAGTTCAGACGCATCTGCGCGGACTTGATCGCCATGAGCGAGTCGGGTAGGCAGCACTATCCCTTCTAACCAGGTTCTTTGACAATGTAGATTCTAACTTGCTGCTATGTACAGTCACGATCGATGCGAGCAAGGATGGCGTCAAATTCGCTGCCAGCGGCGACATTGGCAATGGATCCGTCACCCTGCGAAGCCACACCAACGTGGACAAGCCCGAAAACAACGTGGACATTGAGCTCTCAGAGCCCGTCTCCCTGACCTTCTCTCTCAAGTACCTCGTCAACTTCTGCAAGGCCGCCGCAATTTCCAAGCAAGTCAAGATCTGCCTCTCCAACGAGGTACCGCTGCTTGTCGAGTACGCTCTGGCAGGCTCGAGCTACCTGCGCTTCTACCTGGCGCCGAAGGCAAGTCCACTCTCTCTCTCTCTCTCTCTCTCTCTCTCTCTCTTGACGCTCAACGCCATCAAAGACAAAAACTAACATGACCATCAGATTGGCGACGAGGAGTAAATCGGCGATTAACGACGGAATGAAGTTGATATTGTTGGCGTTGCACGGGATCATGGATGGGGCAAAGGGCCTGTCCTTTTCACTCTGGATTGAGTTTTGCATGTTCTAGAGAAGATACGCAATACGTTGGTGAAGGAAGAGCAAAAAGCACTTTTTGGGACCACGAAAGATAATGAAATAACTGTTTCCGCCTACCCTACATATGAAACAATGGGTTGGTCCATGGAATCGGTACCCTGTGGGCTCGACGTTCATCGAGTCCCTTCACTGGATTCTCTCAAATGAAAGAGTGCGCCAGCTGAGAGCAGCTGGATTGAGGCGACCAGCCTCTCGGTCAGAGCTTTCCAATCTCGGGCTAGTGCGGGGGTCTTCGATGCGCCCTTTGGCTTTTTGGCGGGGTCGATTTTTTTTCCTGGAAGTGTCGCGTCGGGAGTCAGAGCAAGAGCCACAACCAGAAGCGGGAATTGCGAAGCTAACGAAGTGGAAGAACCTGGAACCGCAGTACACACATCCAGATCCTTTCTAATCTCACTTAGTCATTCCCGTCTTTCCCTCTACACAAGACCAAGCAAGAGATATCTCCGGAATAGATAGACATCCGGGTAATTGCGCCGATACAGGACTTATCACTTTGCCCAAAACTTTTGATTTGCAACGCATTGCATTCGTTTGCCTTATTTCTGCACCATTCTACAACGTAATACCCCTTCTCATCGTCCAGCATCTATAGTCATTCCGCGCATCGGCATCTTTCCCGATAAAGCAGACCGCCGATAACCGACTCTCTTGAGATCTGAGAAACCACAAATACACGCCTCCAGTAAAACATAGAGAATTTCACATCCACTCGTTCTGAGCAAACATCAGAATCTTATCCAAGACGCCGCAAGTCTCGCAACAGGATCATGACGGTGGAACTCCCGATCCCCGATACACGCGTCCTGGCCGTCGCCAGTCATGTAAGGTCTTCTCTGAGTGCTCGCAACCTCTACTTGGATGTGTGACTAACCGTCCGGTACAGGTTGTGTCCGGGTGAGTTTGTGTCTTTCATAGGCGGCTATGTGCGCTAGACGTGTAGGCAGGATGGTGAGCCGCGGGTCTGACAGCCTACCGCAGAAATGTAGGAAACAAAATCGCCGTCTTCACACTGCAGTCCCTCGGCTGTGATGTTGCGGCTCTCAACACTGTCCAATTCAGTATGGCCTCCCTCCTTCCACTCTGCCCTCCCTCTCCATGACTCACTCCCCCCTTTCCCAGTATCATAGCTATAGCTTTGCTAACACAAACACCCTCAAAAAATAGGCAATCACACAGGGTATAGACAATGGAAGGGGACAAGGGTGTCCGCCCAGGAGATCCGGGACCTCTTTGAAGGGCTCAAGCAGTCGTACCTGGACGACTTTGACATGATGCTCTCGGGCTATATCCCAGGCGCCGAGGCCGTCGTGGCCGTGGGCGACATCGCAAAGGAGCTCAAGCGGAAGCAGGCCGCCGCGGGGACGCCGGGCGGCTTCTTCTGGGTCCTGGACCCCGTCATGGGCGACAACGGAAAGTTGTACGTCGCCGAGGAGGTCGTGCCCGCGTATCAGAGCCTCGTCGAGCACGCCGACTTGATTCTCCCCAACCAGTTTGAGGCCGAGTATGTTTATATCCTCCCTTCCCCCTTCCCCCTTTCCACCCCTTTTGTGGCATAATGGCCAGACATTGTGACGCCTCGACCGTCTACGCATAGCTCCATACCCATCTTGTGACAAAAAAAAAAAACGGCGTCTTCTTTCTTGCCACACACAAACACTGACACGAAAACCCAAGGCTCCTCTCAGGCGTCAAAATCACCGACATGCAGACACTCCAAACCGCCATCCGCGCCCTGCACACAAAGTACCGCATCCCCCACGTCGTAATCACCTCCGTCTCCCTCGCCTCGCCGGATCACCCGCCCTCCCACCTCTCCGTCGTCGGCTCCAGCATGTCGCCTTCCACCGGCGAGCCCCGCCTCTTCAAGATTGTCTTCCCCGCCATCGACGCCTATTTCTCCGGCACGGGCGACATGTTTGCCGCCCTCATGACGGTGCGCATGCGCGAGGCCGTCATCGCCGCCAGCGGTAGCGAGGGGCAACAGCAACAGCAGCAGCAGGAACAGCAGCAGCTCAAGGACCGCAAATCATGGCTCAGCGGCGACGAGGTCGACGCGCTGGACCTTCCCCTCGCCAAGGCGGCGGAGATGGTGCTGGCGAGCATGCACGAGGTCCTCACGCAGACGGCGCGCGGGATGCAGGAGGTCGTCGCGGCCGCGGGCGGGGACGAGGCCTTGGCGGAGACGGAGGAAGGGAGGACGAGGCTTCATTTGCTCAAGAGCAAGAGCGCCGAGCTGAAGCTCGTGAGGAACCTTGCGAGCTTGCGGGAGCCGACTGTGGAGTTGCGGGCGAGGAGGCTGTAGACGGTGGCCCTGGAGGATAGGGGTAAGGGGGGTGGGACCAAACTTCTTTGGGAGGGGGGCAAGAGAGAAAGAAAGACGTATCGAGGCATGTTTCGTTTCGGAGAGGCGCTTGTGTGTTGTTGTTTTATTGCTGTTTGGTAGATTTGCAAAGTAAGCGCGCTTAGATGGCGGAGATACATGTCACTTGCATGGAGAGACGGCGTGCGGAATTGGGAATAGAAAAAGGCACATCATGGTGGTCGTAGCATTGGTCATTATTCATTCCATTTCTCCAGTTCTATAAGATAACCACAACTTTTGTACGGTCATGTAATTCGCATTGACTGCGTCACCGCCCCAGGCTGCTTCTTGAGCTCAAACCAAACATCACCGTATCTACTGCGCAAGAGAAACACCGGTGCTGCCGAAGCCGCCAGCGCCGCGCACACTCTCCTCGAGCTCGGCGACCTCGACGACCTCGGGGGTGAAGATGCGCTCAATGATGAGCTGGGCGATGCGGTCGCCCTCGGCGACCTCAAAGTCCGTGTCGGCGTGGTTGAAGAGGAGGACCTTGACCTGGCCACGGTAGTCGGCGTCGATGACGCCGGCGCCCGTGTCGATGAAGTTCTTGGAGGCGAGGCCGGAGCGGGGGGCGACGCGGCCGTCTGTCATACAACGTTGTGGTCAGTAAAGTATACCATGGCCTACGATTACGATCGGTGTTGGGAGGGTAAAGCTTTGCGAGAGCTAGCTATGAACGGTAGAAGGACTTATTACGTACAGGTGCCAGCAGGGACGGAGATGGCAATGTCGGTGTCGACCATAGCCTTGCCGCGGGCCGGGATGGTGGTGACTTTTGCGGCGTAGAGGTCGTAGCCGGCGGCGAACAAGCTGCCGCGGGTCGGCAGGCGAGCCTTGTCGGAGAGCTTCTTGATCTGGAGAGGTGGGCAGGGCTCCATGGCGGCGGGGACGGGAGCGTCGTTGGAGGAGGTCTTGACTCGCTTGGCGGGAGGATCGGACTGCTGCTGTTGTGCGGCGACGGGTTCAGAAGAGGTCATGTTTGGGGGTTGAGAGAAGCTTGAGGGAATGTCTGACGAGAGTTTACCTTTCGCCGTTTGAGTCTTGGAGCGAAGTGCGGGGAACAGAGGTTGAGGCTTTGCTTCTTTGAATCTCCAAGCTCGGTGCTTGCTACGTATTCTGGAGCTTTCTTGGAGTGGGACCCCCCGGCTGCACTCTGGCGGTGTCGCGGGAGACGCGTCAGGACGCGGGTGAGCAATTGGCCAATCAGAACTAGAGGTAGCAAATACCCATTTACGCAGAAGGCACTCCATACTACATACCTATGAAGTGATCGTCATCCGACATAAGGTAGCATGCAAGGGCAAAAGCTACTTCATGACACGGCAGAGTTCGTTCATCTTGCGATGATCTCTTGCACGAGAATCAGATAGCCTCAGAGTTGCCTTGCGAACCCCTCCTCAAAGACAGACTCGACAGCTCAAAAGTCTGTCCGTACATTCGTACTCATTTCTTGCATTGATCAGGGCCAAAGGAGATGCTTCAGACGCACACTTCGTACGCCAAGTTCCTGACCTGGACGCCAACTCTGTGTTCCGTTTTATCCAGATCCGGAGGCAAGTGTAGAGTCAATCGCAGACACTGTGACGCACTATCGAAAAAGAGCGCGCACTGTGAAAGCCGGAGCCTCAACGAGCCTATTAGAACTGCGTGCCCTGAGTCAAGAGACTCGACGCTTAACAACAGGAGCTTTTCTCTGACATTGCAAGGCCCAGGGTAGACAAGCTATCACGAGAAAAATTCAGTTTGATTGCCTGGTTGGCCATCTCCACACGGGGGATCTGCGCCGACTGCGTCGCAGTTGCACTCGCACGGATGTGCGGCAGATCAAGCCCTGCTAGTCGTCCAGCTCTCTTCCAAAATCAATGAGCTTGAGCCTCGTCGCGTCTCGAGGATGGAACTGAGCGACCTTGGACCTGACGAGAAATCGCGCCGCTGCTGTTTCCTTTGATAGCTTAACATACGCCGCAGTGCTGTCGCCAGTTGCTTCTGCATGTTGGTTCAGAAGCTGTTCTGTAAGGTCGCGCATCTCGCGACCAGCAGCCGCTGCTTCGTCCGCATTGCCTTGTTCTCGGCCTGCATCCTCCTGAGGTATACCCCAAACTTCTTCGAGGCGTCGTTGTCGTTTGTCCTCGTCCACCTTGGATTTGACTTTGACCGGTCGGCCCTGGGCATTGAAACCAGCGCCGAGTTGATCCGAGTCGATTTCCATCATGTCTCCCACAACGGGTCCACCGAGGTCCTCGGCAGCTAGTTGACCTCCAAGATGACCGTCAATGAAGTTTCTCAAAGCCTTGAGTAGCTTAGTCGTCTCTCTGTCGTAACGCTTCTTCTTTTGCTTCAGTTCGTCCAGTCTTTCCTTGGCTGCTCGTTCAGGCGTCAATTCCATCCAAGATTCGGCCTCGTCCTTGAGAGACTGAATCCGCTTCTCCAAACTCTGCTGAAGGGTTTGTTGGTCAGTCAAACTCGCTTGCTCAACCTCGAGCCTTCGTTTGGTCTGATCAAAAGTGGCTCCTTGACTGGTCAGATAGGCTCGGGATTCAAGAACAGTCCGATGAGTCGTTCGCAAGGCCAGTAGCGCGGGTAAAACGGATTCCGAGAAAGGTACGAAGGGAGGTGTGCTGGCAACTTGCTCGAAGGCAACTCTCATGACTTCATAAGGTTCCCTCCCTGGTCCGGATGCATTCTGGCTCGAGTTGGCATTTCGTTGAAGCTGTTCACATATTAACTAATAGCACTCAATGAGCATGAGATGGGTTGCATACCGCTGCAAGCTCTTCCCGGTGTTGGTCGATCTTTTCTTGCAGTTCTTGCAAGCTTTGATCCAGGCTCAAGGTGTACCTATCACTGACGGGGTGGGGTGATTCGTCCATGTCGTGCTAAAATGTGGTCGCTTAAAGCTAGAGACTGAAGTGTGTTGTTGTCGTTGTTGTATGTCCTTGATTCAGGCCAAACAATCTGATGGTTCGGCGACACGGTGCAAATATCAGATACACAACACTCCGTAGCGCACGCGACTTGGAGAGGGTTTCCCGGAGGAAACGAAACAGTTCAAGCAACGGCAGCACGCGCAGGTCTTCGATCCGTCCTAAAGCACAAGGCCCGGCGGAGCAATGGGCACATCCAATGGTGTCGAGCGTCCGATTCGATCCCTGTCAGAAAAAATAAGGCGTGTTCGGGCGCTAGATCGTCTCTGCTTGTTTCATACGAGGTGTCACTCTGTGTCGGACGCTATCGAGATTTCCGGGGGCGCAGACAGCCCGCGACTTGCACAGATGATGGCTCTGTCTTGGCTGTCAAGCAGTCTGGCGCGCTGTCAACTGCAATTCCTGATGCGGCAAAGTGGACCAGAGAAGAAAGCGGTATTGTCGTCGGCAGAGCTGCGACTATCCGCCAAGACAATACTGAATTCGATATGGAAACCTATGGTAAAGCAACTGATGCCTGTCTAACATGGACGACAGGACGTGACGTGACGTTGTGCCGGGTCGGTTTGTGTAGGAAGTAAGGTATGGTGTGCAAAAGGCGTGTTGGTGCTGAGCATCCCCTTGCATTGTTTCCAATGCAAAGCACCGCGGTTGAAAGCAGGGTCGGTCGCAAGGCGCAAGGCGCAGCTTCCATCCGCTCCCGCACTTTTTTTTTTGTTCCCTTTGGTCAATTAGTTTGCGGGAGATGTACGGAGAAAACGCGCATGAAATGGCAAACACTGTGCGGCTCGCTGCATGGATCTACCCAATGAAACATCCCCAGCACAGGTAGGTACGCAGTGCTGCGTACGAAAGTACTCCGTAGAGCACAAGGTAGGAAGGACCAGCTGGCTGCGCACGCTGCTGCGGTAGGTAATAGGCACGTAGGTAGGTACGTTAGGCACCTCCGGAGCGGGGGCCACCACCTTCTCCCCCATGTTGCTTAATCTGCCGGGAAGCATCACCTCTCACTGTGTGGACCCTCTGTTTCTAGCCCAGAGTGGAGACACATGGAGGTAAGCGAGGCAAAGGCACTGGCTGCATCATTGTGGAGACCGTGTGATCTTCTAGGGCACTGTACTGGCCCTTGCCCCCCCCGGGCGGGCACTGATGGGCTCCTGGCATTGGCGCCGCGCTGGCACTTGCGCTGCTTGTTCTGAGGAGAAAGCGTGAGAATATCTTGCCTTCCCATCCCGTTTCTCAAACCTCTTCGAGACATCCGGAACCCCCTTCCAACCCATCTGTTTGCCCTGCACGGTTTTCTCTCCCCCATCTCTTTTAATCACCGACTCGCCTCTTCATCCCTCCCCCGTTTGTCAAAAGCTTTTTGGTGGGTTGTGTTTTTTCCAACGGCGTAGCGCATCGGTCCCCAGTTTCGCTTCCCTCTCACGTGTCGCCTCCGAAGCTATCCAGGTCTACCTCCTCTGGCTCGACCGTTGGCGCGTTGCCATCTTCGTTTTGTTGCTTAGCAGCTTGAGAAGCTTCAACGAGACAAGACACAGCACGGAAGGAAATATCAAAGCTCTGCTTGCAGACTTGACATCACGTCGCGATACATCGCAGCTTGGACTGTTCGTTTGACGGAAGAAAGGTTTGAGCTTCTGCATCCGAATCGCCTCCCAGATACAACCTTTGTCTATCATCAGCTCCTTCCCTCCCGCCTTCTTTACCTCTTTTCCATCATCCGCCTTCTTCCTGCCCGTCCGCTGCCTCATCGCCCAGCCTCGCACAGCCTCGCCTTCCCTCCGTTTGACCTGAGTATCTTTGCGATCCTCACGATTTCGGAAGTCACCTCGAACCTGATAGGATAGGAGTCATCCTGAACCCACATCCCGATCTTTCAACTTCACGATCTGCCTGCCCTACGACCTTTCATCCTGCACGATCAAAGCCACTTCACCGAAGAGACATTCTCTGAACCCGATCCCGACTACGCCACTACACCAGCCCGTTTTCCTTAGAAAACCGTTGTGGTGTAGATAGTCGAATACAAGCTCTTCTTGAACCTCTACGGAATTGCGAAAACTTGTGTGAGACATTAACAACTAGCCCATCATGTCCGCGTCGCCTACCCAACCCGCCAACTCGGCCAAGCGCCCCCTCGAGGAGACCTCGTCCCCTTCGCGTAGCAACGACCAGCCCGACGCGAAGCGACCGGCCTTGGACAAGATACTCAAGAGTGATGAGGAGGTTGAGATGGCCCAGCCGCTCGATGCCACTACCATCCCAACTACGGATGCGAACGGCGCCGACAAGACGAACGGCGCTGATGCGAAGTCTGAGACGGCTGACGAGGGCGCCGAAGGTTCCGAGACGAAGCCGATCCAGAGCTCCGTTGCCGGCTCCGTTCCTGCCACGTCCACGCCCTCGGCAAGTCACGATGAGAGAGACTGGATTCATATTCGCGCTGTCATTTCCAGCCCGGAAGCTGCGACCGTCATTGGAAAGGGTGGAGAAAACGTCTCCAACATTCGTAAGATGTCGGGCGCGAAGTGCACCGTCAGCGACTACCAGAAGGGGGCCGTTGAGCGCATCTTGACCGTTAGCGGCGTTGTCGATGCCGCTGCAAAGGTTTGTAACACAATCGCTCTTGCCCCAAGAGGTCCCAGCTAACCCAGTCGAATTAGGCCTTTGGTCTCATCATTCGGACTCTCAACAACGAGCCTCTGGCCGAGCCATCCAGCGCCCAGTCGAAGACGTACCCTCTCCGCTTGCTCATCCCTCACATCTTGATCGGTTCCATCATCGGAAAGGGGGGAGCGCGTATTCGCGAGATCCAGGAGGCTTCTGGTGCTAGGCTCAACGCGTCGGACTCTTGCCTGCCTCTGTCTACCGAGCGTTCGTTGGTGGTTATGGGCGTCGCTGATGCGGTTCACATTGCAACATACTACGTCGGCAGCACCCTGCTCGAGCAATTGAACGACCGTTTCGGTGGCCCCGCTGCCTCTGCGTATGCGACAAGGAGTGGTGGCCCTGCTGGTGTCGTCCCCGGCGGCATGCAAGTTGTCCCGTAC